GTAAAACAGACAAAACGGCCCAGACCCGGGACGAGCTGATGCAGTGGCTCCCACGGACGAATCAGTGGGTGGCACGTGTTTGGGGAGCACGAAAGTTTTTCAATTAGTTGAGGGGAAACGTTGTGAGGGGAGAGAAAAACCATGGGCAGGCTTCATTAGAGTTGTTTGCCGGGTGATTTGGGAGGTTTCCATGTGGACGGACCAACGGACGCTGCTCCGATTAGGCAGTCAAGTAGCGTTATACTGTTGTTTTTCCTTAATTAACAAGAAATCCAAGCAAATCCGTAGCAGCCAAAAAAGTGAGCAAGAGAGAGGATATTTATGGTTGAAACTCGTACACATTTTGTGGGTATTATTAGCGTCTGCTGATTCCAATAATATTATGCCAATAAAGTTGCTTGCATAATTGGCTAAAACGGAAATTGACTTTGCATTTCGTTTGGCTAATTTCCGTCCCATCTGTCACTTTGAGCCCCAAGCCAGCCTTACCAATAAATGTCCGAGAATTGTCTCTGGCGGCTGGCTGATAGCAAAACATGTCCATCAACCGGAGGGTCGACCCTTTGCCTCTGGAATTTATTTGCAAATATTTGGGGAAATGTAACGTATACGGAAAATTAACATAATTACAGAGCTTGCAAACCCTTTTTACGGCAACAGAGGGGATGGCCGGGGTTGTAGGTGGTAGTCCTGGCAACGCCCAGCGATGAGCCCCAAAAAACCCAGCATCATAATAATTTCTTTGCATTTGCTTTTTACGAGGCGACACAGAGATACACAAAGAGACAGGGAATGAGGTAGCCTAAGTTTGGGGAGTTTGCTGCTTACCCACCAATCTACCCACGCGCAACGCATAAATTTACTTGTTAAACAACCCACCGAAGATGGGGTATGGTTAGGGGTAGATTTTCCAGGGGTAGCAAAAACAACCAACCCAACCCAACCCAACCCCTGGGCCCCTGGGCTCAACCGCAGCCCAGCTGCTGCTCATCAAAGTTGCATGGAGTGGTCGGTAAGGTGGGGCTGGCGCTCTCGCTGGCTGGCGAAAGTAAAACCAAACAAAGCATGCCAAAAATGATCTCGGTCACTTTTCAAATACACGTTCCGAACTCCCAACCAAAAACCTCACTGGGTTTTTATGGGGGTTTCAGGTTTTCGTTGGGGGCTAAGTCGATGCACTGGGGAAATTAATATAACCAGTTTGGGAATATCTATGTAAAATATTTATTCATTTTTATAGCAATAGTTTTAGTTGAAAATTTGTCTAGAATTTAATTAAAAGTAGTATTATTAATTATATAGAAAATATATGGAAAATATATGGGAATTCTCTGACATTAAACTGGCACTCCCGAAGCAAACTTCTTGTTCATTGTTAATCATATCAGATTTATAAATAGTAGTAGTTTTCTAATAGTAAAGAATCAATCTCTTTATTTTTAACTCTGCCTCTTGATTGCCAATTAGTCAAGACAAACGATTTAATGTATAAATATCCGAAAACTCCAAGACAATAAAATGGGCAATCAATTGCCAACTTATTTCAAAAAGTATTTTAGTATTGTTCAAACATGAACACGGTTTTAGATAAGAAGCATCTGTTAGCGATAAAGTCCCAGCAGCAGAGCACGGCCTAGCACCATATCTATCTATTAATACAACCGCCACTTGAGCCTATGTAACAAGTATCCCGAAATATGACCTCCTGCGAGCGGTCTGGGTTTGTTTAAGATATGTTCTTTCGGGGTGACTGTTTGCACCCTTATCGTATATTTCTCACGATCGGGAACTGTCCGATGCGTGGGTCTAGAACTAAGATCTACAATGTACATTCTCATGTTAGCTATATAAGCTAGGGTTTGAATGGAATAAAATCAGTTTTCTTACAAAAACTCAACACATGAAGACTTCTCATTTATTTGGGGTTTTCAAGTATTCTGGCGTAAAGATGGTGTATTTATTGGTTTTATTAACCAGAAAGTATCGAAGTTATAGCCAAAGGATACGATGCGATACGATACGATACGCTTTTTGCTGTGCATTAAAATTACTGGTCCACCGCCTTCACCACAGATCCGCTTTGTTCCTTGCTGGCTCCCCCTGACTCACAGCCAGTTCAGAGTTCAGACCTCACACCCACCCACCCATTCATGGGGTCAACGGTTCCGTCTCGTGATCTCCCCCACAGAACCGCCTTGGTGGCTGCTGGCCCACTTTTAAGTTTCTTAAGTATATATGTATTCAGTGTTGTTGAATCCATTCCCACACCAACAACACACATTTTTCGGGCCACGTTGACAACACTGTTTACCTAATGTACCGTTAAGCTGCGCACTTGATGCCGTTATCTTCCGCTCGCCTTTGTTCCCTTTTGGCCGTCAGCATGGAAATTATTTTCTTAATTTGAGGGCAACAGCGAAAAGTTTTTCGTCGCTGACTTTAAAGCGCTTAAAATTGTTCGCTAAATGTAGCTTATTTACAAGGGCCAAGGTTATTATAGGGGAATTTGAAAGGATTTAAAAGGACTCAATCTTCATTATAACATAAGAATAGTTAGAGGCATTCTAAAAGATTTTTCAAAGATTAAACTATATGATTTTAGATATTAGTTTCCTTGGTAATAAATATATACTTTATACCCATTCAAGCTTATTTGTTTGTATTTGGAACATGCATGCCAGCATCAAATTTAAACTGTACAAACTGAACGAACTTTGGCAGTTCGTAAAAAGTTTTTTCATTTGCCAGCGAAAACAACAATAACCAACAACGTAATGGCATTGAGCATGAAATCATAATAATAATAATAATAATAACCGAGCGAAACAAAAGCGAAAAAGTTGTAAACTTTGTTACTACTGTGTGCTGGCTGTTTATGATGTCCTGGGGCTTATTTAATCGATAATGCCGAATGATGTCCTGAGACATAAGGCGCAGTAACCCAGCTCCGTTTACCTGAGGAATTTTTTGCGGTGCCCAAGGGGAGAGACCTTGAGCGGGAGCAGCAGTAAAGGGATTTTCATTGCCGTCACTGAGGCCGGAGCTTCACACGCATGCCACGCCTAATGCAGCCGCCGCCCAACCCCTTTTTGCAGGTTAAGGTCATCAGGAAAAGCCGCAGCAACGGCAGCAACGTTTGCCGCAATTTTATGCTGCAGACATCTGCATTAACAATGGCAATGAAATGCAGGCAGAACCAGGAAGGAGCAGGGCCACGTCCATGACGTTTAGCCGTAAACGGATTTATAGCAGCTGCTGCTGCTGCTACTGCAGGTTTATCCTTGAGAGTGGGCGCCTTTTCAAGGGCACACACTCTCACTCTCTCTCTCTCTGCTCTCTCGTGGCACTCGTTTATGTTGTCATTATTTTTAATCCAACATATTCCCTCAGTTATGCGGAGAATTAGCGCAGAAGGCATTCATTCCGCCTTAAATGCCGGCAATTTGTGTGCCACTAAAGCAAGCGGGGGTAAAAGAAAAAACTACAAAAAGCTGCCGGCACAAAGGCATTTTTTGGCCTGACATGCCGCTCTTGAGTGGTGCTCGAGATAAATATCGCTTGGCTCGGTCTAAAAAGACTTAGTCAATGTCGGTCTCGGGATTGAAGGTCAATAGCAGCAGCGCGAAAATATCTGCATTGGCAATATGCAAATTCAAATTTAAGTGAAGGCAACCAGGTTAACTTTGTGGAACTCCCAGAAAGGACGAGTCCTAAAAAGGTTTATATTTTTCTATTTTAAATAGCAAATTAATAAAATAAAATATTTATATATTTTTAGCCCCTAAGATGCCATCCTGCTTTAAGATTATATAGCTTCAAATATGGGTTATCTACGCAGTGTAACAGGTTCTTTTACATCCCTTGATGACTTTACAAGCCCTTTGTCATGAGTTTTATACTCGGTTTTACATTACTTACATGTGTAAATTGTAAACTGTCAACATTTTTGTTAGTCTGGCAATGAAACTGCCAGCTTTGGCGCAATATTTAAATAAGAAAATGTTGTTATTAATTTTTATTCTCTGTAAGTAAGACCGATTTGTACACGGCTTATCCCTATTATCGTTTTAATGAATGGGATTTCTTATCAACATGCAATTTAGTGATTATTTCTTGAATTGAATGTGTGTGTGCCTATAAGTTAAAACAGGTTTTTATAATAAATTATTGTGTTTGTATTGATATTTAACAAGGCTGATAAGATAGCATAAATTATAAATTCGATTTCACTTGTTGAAAATTAACAGTACCTGTTTTACTTGTGGTTGCTCACGTCGAGAGCTTAAACGTGGCAGTGGTACCAACGACATACGCTGCAAGGGATCGGATCTGGAGTGGGGCCACGCGGAGTTATAGCTATACCGATGAGACATCTATTGGCAAGGAAATATGCAGCGCCATGAGGAACTGGCCCAAGAATGTCTGCCAGGTGAGTACAAACCAAAGACAGTAATTGAGGAGAATTAAAGTAACACAAACCCAAAACAGATAAACGATGTGGATGGCAAGGCAGTCACCTTTGAAAAAGGCATTACATGGGCCATTCGAATTGCTCAGATCTTCAAGAAGAAAGGACTCGAGTATCCTGACGTTATAGGCCTGGCTGTTAGGAACTCAACTCGTCCAGTTTACTGATAAATTTCCCATTAATCACAACCGAAAGATATTTCGCAGAATAGCGCGAGAGGAATTTGTTGTCAAGAAAGGGAATTCAAAATTGTGACTAGCTTATAAATTTTAAATTTTTAAATATAATTAGAAAGCAAAAAACCTTTAAAGAGAGACCGTGAGGTTTTCCAAGTATAAATTTATGGTCCAATAAAAGAAATCAAAGTCAAAACAGCTTCATTAACATTAAAATTCAGAGAAATCATTATTTTTAAATTTTAATATTAATCAGTGACCTTTTTGAATTTAGGCACCAGGGGGGTTATCACCGACAAGGTAGAATTGAATAAAAGCTCGATGCCGCTCTCAGATTTCTTAGTCAAGCATTTAATATGAAGATCACTGGAGCTATCATCATCCTGCTATCCTGGTTGAGTCTGGGAAAGGGAGAAACTTTAGTTACCTATCTGGAACCCAATTGCGGAACAGTTGTACTGATGCCTACTTTACATGTAATATCACAAGGAGATGAGACGGCTGATATTCTACAGCATCCGTGGATGGCATCTCTAAGAAGCAAAAACGTGTGTCCTCAACACAGTGAGTCTTTAAATCGAAATATTAGTTAATATAAATGTAAATGTAAATGTAAATGTTTATTAATCAGCAACCGTTAGGTCATATTGCACGCTTGAGGCAATTTGTGGAGGCTCGCTTATCACTGCCCGTAAGTCAACCAATTGAAACATTGCTACTACGACTAGCGAAATATAATTATTAATTATTTTCTAGAATTTGTACTCACTGCTGCGCATTGCCATTTTAACGAACATACGTAAGTTTATAGTTTAAAAAATCATGTAATTGAATCTATAATGTAAGAATTAATAACCTTTTCGTAGAACTGCTTTGCTGGGATCCACCGATAACTACAGTCCGAGCGAAAGTGCCATCGAGATTCAAGTGGTACAAAGAATACCTCATCCAAATTATAATGCAATATATCTTAGGAATGATATTGCCCTGTTTCGACTAGCCAAGACGGTGCAGTACACTGGTAAAAATAATACACATATTTTCAATACTTAACCAAGAGCCTCTCTGTACCTCCTCTTTTCCCCGCAGACTACATCAGACCCATTTGCCTGACGACTAACAGAAATCCCTTGCAATTTACCACAAATCTGGCAGCCACGGGCTGGGGCATAACGCAAACTGGAACTACGAGCAATGTGCTGAAGACAACAACCTTGAAGAAACTACATTTCGATTCTTGTTCCTCCATATACAATATTCGAATTGTTGATGGCTCCCAATTTTGTGCTGGAAACGCTGACTCCAATACGGGCCAGGGGGATTCGGGAGGCCCAATCACGGCCATGTATGCCATCAACGGCACGAACCGCGTTATTCAACTGGGAATGGTCAGTTACGGAGAATATCCTGATCCTTCGGTCTATACGAATGTTTGGCATTATGTAACCTGGATCGCACGAGTCGTTGGACGCAACATTCAACAAACACCACGTCGAACTCAAAGGCCATCTTATGCATACAGGCCTCGATATAATAATAGATACGTGGTGTATGGTTAATTTTCTAAGAGACAAGATTAAAATAAACGCATTATGTTTGCAGCTAAATTGGATAATGTTTAAATTTCATTTCAAAACAATGTATTTGTTTAAAAAAGTATGAAAAAAATAGTAGTTTTTTTAAACCATTAAAAAAAACAATAAGTATGAAAAAATAGTAGTTTTTTTAAACCATTTTCTGTAAAATTTAAAGTTTTATACGGTTTAAAATGGCGAATTGTAGTTGATCGGTGTTACGTTGTTGGATTACGTTATTGTTAAGTTAAGTTTCCAACCAGCACTGGGCAGCACTGTTCGCTCATGAACGAAATCATGGGCAGCATTGGGGCTCGCGACCAAATCTGCCAGAGGTTGTAGTATTAGATGTGGTTCGAATATCAGATGTGGCTGGATTTTTTAGGGAATTTTAACTATTTGGGATTTTGGCGGTAAAGCCAGCACGGCAACACTGCTCTAGCTCTTTCCTCTTTCAACAACATGGCTGATCAGGTAAGATTCCACGACAATGTGTAAAATAAATGAAATACGCGGCCTAAACCACGGATGCAAAATGAAAAGAGACAGCCAAAGAGGTTTGTAAGTGAGACGTGATGGATGGAAGCGATGGAAAGGCCGGGACACCGAGCGGCAGCCAACAATTCGCAGCAGCCTCGCCCTAACCCCACTTTAGCGCATGGTGCCTCAAATAGTGTACACGAAATGTATATTGCAGCAAACCGAACGCGCGTTCCGCAAACAGCACGCGGTGGTTGTGGTGCGACGCAAGAGCGCCACTTTGAAGAAGCGGCCTCGGTTTTACCGCCAAATTGGTCTCGGCTTCCGGGCTCCGGCCGAGGTAAGAGGATGCAGAGCAAACCACGACTAATGTTGCGCCCCTCCGTTTGTTTCCATTTCATTCCCCGCACGTTGACCTGAACCTGACCTGAACACCAACCTGCCCTACGCCCCCGTGTGCTCCACATGATTCCGCACTAACCAGAACGAGCGCGCCTTCCAAAAACAATTCGGTGTTAACTTGAACCGCAAGGTCAAGCCCGGCATCACCAAGAAGAAGATCCTGCGCCGTTACCGTGATGTTGGCCTGGGCTTCAAGACCCCCCGTGAGGTGATGCTAGCAACTTGTACCCCACTGAAAAACCATCTATTTCCTAGCTAACATGTTTCTCTGCTCTCACCCAACAGGCCATCGATGGTACCTACATCGACAAGAAGTGCCCCTGGACCGGTGATGTGAGGATTCGTGGTCGCATCCTGACCGGCGTGGTCCGCAAGGCCAAGATGCAGCGCACCATCGTCATCCGTCGCGACTACCTGCACTTTGTGCGCAAATACAGTCGTTTCGAGAAGCGTCACCGCAACATGAGCGTGCACTGCTCGCCCGTCTTCAGGTAAACTAATATTTAATTAAACCGAATTCTTGGTTTGCCCCTTTTCTGATGATAAAATCATGACGGTCTTCATAAAACAAATTGCTGAAAGAACTTGACTCTTTTTACTAAACGTAAAAATACTGAAATACACATAAATCTTGCAACTTTGACACTGCTGAATCGCTCTTACTAACTCCACATTTGTTGTGTCTTTGCAGGGATGTTGAGCACGGCGATATTGTCACCATTGGTGAGTGCCGTCCCCTCTCCAAGACTGTGCGCTTCAACGTTCTGAAGGTTAGCAAGGGTCAGGGATCCAAGAAGAGCTTCAAGAAGTACTAAGTGAGGCGGACAACCACCATTTGGGAGAGATAATATTTGTAGCAGTTATTCTTTTTGAATAAAACAAAAAATGTAACTTTAACCCTTGTTCTCCACAGTCTCCTCTTAGTTGTTTCCACAGCATTTCAGCGGACGCTGCAGATATTCCATTGAAAGGTGTGTACAGAGATGTTACTTTTAAGATATCTTGTTTAATTTGGCATTCTGATGATAAAATCATGACGGTCTTCATAAAACAAATTGCTGAAGAACCTTGACTCTTTCCACTAAAAGTGGAAATACTGAAATCTATCAAAGGAAACGTGTTTTAATTGCAAATTCTTGAATTTTGGACTAACGTGCTGTTTTCTTTCTTTTTTGCAGAATTCAAGACGACTTTAATTTACCAGAGTTATGAACTTATTAACTTAAATAACTTTATGGATTACTGGATTCTTTCAATAAAATTGCCGCAAACTCGAAGTTATAGTGTTTTCTTTCGATATTAAAGATATTTTGTATATATTTTCACTATATTAATGAAAAATTGAAAGATATATATATAACTTCTGACAATCTGCTAATGCTGATCAAGAATATATATGATTTATAGGAAACGACAGCTTCACTGTGTTTCAAGCTTCTGACAAAAATTTGAATACCTTGTTATAATATTTATTTATATATATTTTATAATATTTAAATTCGGCGCCTTTTGGCTGAAATAAAGCTAAAAACAGCTGATTTTTCAGTTACAAAAAGCTAACACCCCTTGGTAACACTAAAAAGCGCAAACTGGTCACACAGACAAGACGAAACAACAATAAAAATGGAAACTGGACCAAATGCAGAAATTGGTAAAATAGATATTACGCTCGAAATACAGATAAAGTTGCTCCTTCAGTGATGTGTAGAGCCAGCTCTAAAGAAGATCCTGTCACCCAAAGACTTGCTGATATCATAATCACCCTTCCGCCCATTACAGAGCTCCTAGAGCGCGTCCTTTTGCGGCTCGGCAATGCGGACGGAGACGAGAAGCTGGAGGCTACAGTGGGCAAATTCCTGACTCCTGTGATCCTGAAGATGAACTCCCCCCACAATGCGGTGCGCACCAAGGCAAGTAAAGGGCTCAAAGCAAGGCCCGCCGGGGGGTGTCTTGCCCCCTTCTCGCTGCAGTGACGCTGCAGAATTCGCTTGGGCCGTTTGACTAATGCTTTGTGAATCCGAATTCTACCGGAATTCCAGGTTGTGGAGGTGCTGACCCACATCAAGCGGCGGCTCTCGTCACGGGGACAGGTCCAGATCCCAGTGGAGGCTCTGCTTGACCAGTATGCCGCCGAGGACAGCAGCACGTTCCTGAAGAACTTTGCCATCATATTCATCGCCATGGGCTATCCGCGGCTGCCGCTGGAGCAACAGGCCGGTTTGGCCAGCAAGGTGGTGGGCAGCGAGGATAAGCTGGAGAGCTACCAGGACAAGCTGTTCGCCCTGCTGCTGCCCATACTGTCAGAAATCAAGATCCCGGATGATCCTGCGCAGCGTTCGAAGCTTCTCAATCTGCAGGACAAGCCGGGCATCAGTACGAACTTCCTCTCCCTCCTGCAGGATGTGTTGCTCCTGCCCTACGGCATCACCCAGGATCAGGAGGTGCCGCCAGGACTGAGTCCTTATAGTTTTAAGCGAATCATTGCTAATAACTGGCGTGCCGAGGAGCTGGAGAAGGTCAAGAAGGGCATCGTTCGCTTCCTCTGCGCCAGCGTCTTTAGCGATGTGCAGATCTTTGTGCCCCTGGTGGTGGCCTCGGCGGATACACGCTTTAGCGTGGCCACTCCGGCCATCGCCGAGCTGAGTAAGCTGTGCACCATGCTGGACTTTAGTAGCCCGGCGGTTACAGCTCCTCTGTACACCTTGTTTGCCGGCAACCAGAGCAAGTTGACGGATCGTCAGACGCGTCCCTGCTGTGCCCGCGTTCGCCAGAAGTTGCTGCAGTACCTCATCAAGTGCCGCGGCAAGAGCATCAATGTGACCAAGGGTCTGCAGGTGATCTTTGACGGTCTCTTTGGGACCAACACCAACCAGAAGTGCAAGGTTTTGGCGCTGAATTTCGCGGAGTTGGTACTCAGAGAGTAAGCATTGAGCATCTCATATTATTTTCAATATTTATCTTATGTTTTCCCACTCCTAGTGGCCCCCAAGAGTTGGTCTCAAAGGTGTCGAGGGTTATACTCACCGGCATTACCAAGGTCATAGGGCGCGACTCCACCGAACCGAATGATGTCCAGAATGCTGCATATTCTGCCTTGGCTCAGCATGCTCGCAGTTTTCCCCAGGATGTTAGTCAGGATCTCAAGCTGGTCCTGGGTTACTTCAATAACCTGGCCAGCTGTGCTCCTGAATTACACTCTTCCATACGCGAGGCTTTGGTCTCCATGGCTCCAGCTTTCGCGTGGAAGACCAAGGAGAAGAGTGATGCCATGGAGGTGGAGGAGAGCACTGATCCTTCCGCCGTCAAGTTAGATGGCCAGCAGCATCTTTTGTTGGCCATGTTGCTGGACAATGCCGAGTCCAAGATCCAGATAGTCCAGAATGTGACCAGTGTCTTCCTGACCAGCTGCTATCCGGAGTATTATGCCCCCGCCCGTTACCTGCTGCTGCTTATTGCAGGCGAGCGGTGAGCGGATTTTCTTCTCCAAAAATCCTTAATTTAATGCTCTATTGTTTCCCTCAGCAATTCCCTCCGCGAGAACGTCACCACCTACTTGTATGGCACCTCGAAGAAGGATCATGTGAACTACAACCTGCTCTCCTCCATCGAGCAGGTGGAAAACCGCACCAATAGCGAGTCCATTAGTGACTTCAATCACCTGTCCCTGGAGCAGCGACGCGTGGTTCTACCCAGCTTTCCGGTGATGATGGCCCACGTCCATGAAATGGCCAACAAGCGGCTAAAAAAGAGCAATACCTGCGTGGTGGTGGGACGCACTAAGCTCCCATACAGCCTGGAAGTGTACGAAGAGCTGCTAGACTATCTGCGCCTGTGCCTGTGGTATTCCGCTGGCGTGGTCTCTGCTCCTGGGGACGAGAAGTACACCCAGGATCTTCGCAAGTACATCACCTTGCACTACGAGGAGGAGGAGAACAATGCCCTGCATCAGTATGTGCAGTTTGTTCAGCGCAGTGTGGAGGCCAAGAGAAGTGGGTGAGAGTTGGAAGTAGGTAATGGAATGTGATTGTGACTTGTGACCTCCTTCCAGGCGAATCTAATCTCATCTGTCTGTACGATCTGCTGAACGCCGCTCCGGAGTTGTTTGCTGCCAAGCAGCTGCATCTCCTAGAGCCGCTCGGCAACACCTTGAAGGATGTTTCCGAGACTATGCGCATCCATGTGGCTCAGGTCTATGGTATACTCTGGGCCTTTGGGTTGTCCGATGACAAATTTGATGAGGAGGTGGGCGAGTGCCTCAACAACCTCACGCAAAAGACACTGGAGCACAAGCATGGCTGGCTCCTGGTGCTGGGACACACCTTCAATCGCAAGATTGCCATGCTCAAGCAGGAGAAGAAGGCCAAGGACTTTGCCACTTGGCAACAGTTTGTGAATGCTGTCAAGATAATCTGTGAGTTGGAACTCATACCAAGCCTGGGACTCCTGATTCTTATATCTTTTTATTATATTCTTGCAGCTAAAACCCTCTGTGAATCCCAGTGGCTGCTCGTTTCGGCCGCCGTCAAATGCATCTCCATGATCGGCAAGGCTGTGCAGATACCCAACGTCAAGGTGGAGATCCAGGTGCCCACCAACGATGCCGATGACGATGAGGAGATGACCGAGTATACAAGCATTGATTCCTCCACCAAGCTTGTTGTCTTTGGTGTGGTTTTCCAGCTGCTGCGCAGTTCGTCGGCGCGTCAAAAGATACGCGAGGAGTCGGCCAGATGTTTGGGATACTTGGCCATTGGCGATGGCGAGCACTTTACCAAACGCAATCTGGAGAAGTTCCTTACCCTGGCCAAGGTGCAGAAGGATGCGGCTCTAAATATAGCCATATCCGAGGCGATTGTCAACACCCTTTGCGGCTATGATGTGAACAAGGGACAGCCGGATGAGAGGTTCGTCAATGTCCACTGCAGCGATGTGGATTTCGAGCAGTTCCTGAACTCGCTGATTCGCCTGGTCACCGAACCGAATCCAAACTCCCGGCAGGCCATCTCCGTGTGGTTGCTGGCCGTAGTGAAGCACTGCAGCAAGCGGCCCGCCGTGCTGGCCAAGAAGGAGCTGCTGCAGTTTGCCTTCACTGAGCTGCTCTCCGATGACAGCGGTGGGTTTTGAGCTGCTTTACGATCTCTTCATGAATCCAACACATTTTATTTACCTTTCCCCTGCAGAATTTGTCCAGGACGTGGCCTCCCGTGGCCTGGGACTGGTGTACACCCTCTCCGACTCCAACAGCCAAAGCGACCTGGCCAACTCCCTGCTGGATCAGCTCATTGGTGGCAAACGCAAGGTGAACCAGGTCACCGCTGACACGGAAATCTTTGCCGAAGGCATGCTTGGTAAGACGCCCACGGGTGGCAATATCACCACTTACAAGGAGCTGTGCTCCCTGGCCTCGGATCTCAACCAGCCGGACATGATCTATCAGTTCATGCAGCTGGCCAATCACAATGCCACCTGGACCAGCAAGCTGGGAGCAGCCTTTGGTTTGAAAACCCTTTCCGCCGAGTCCAGACAGAAGATGCAGCCGTATCTGGGCAGGATTATACCGCGTCTCTATCGTTACAAATACGATCCCACGCCCAAGATCCAGAACTCGATGATCTCCATTTGGGACACCATTGTGAGTGACTCGAAGGAGGTGACGGAGCGTTACTACTGGGAAATTCTGCGTGAGCTTTTGGACAATCTCACGTGCAAGGAGTGGCGAGTGAGGATTGCCTGTTGCCTGGCGGTTCGAGATCTCCTAAAGCGTTCGAATGGCTTGAAACTTCGCTCGGAGGAGCTAGTGCGGCGCACACCCGCCTCCGATGCCATGGAAGTGGATGAGGTGCCCGAACCGGAGCTCAAGGAGCTATGGTTCCAACTCTTCCGTGTGATGGATGACATCCATGAGGGAACCAGAGTTGCGGCTCATGGAACTGCTTCATTCCTTGGCAAGCTCTGCGTCATTGCTTCCTCCTCGGATCATGGCAAATCCGGCACAGCGGTGGCTACGTCCGTTCTGCCGTATCTCCTGGAGACTGGAGTGGGTCACAAAGTGGCTGAGATCCGCACGGTGAGCATCAAGACAATTTCCGACATGATTGACTCTTCGGGAGCCCTAATTGCTCCCCATTTGGTCACCCTGATTCCCTGCCTGCTGCGAGCCACTGGTGAGTTGGAAAACAGCAAGCTCTCGTACGTGTCCACTCGCTTGGGGGCAGACAATGAGGCCCAGGAAGCGGTGGATACACTCCGAGCTGAAGCTGCCAAGTCGCACCACACCATGGAGACCATAGGCAAGTGCGTGCGGTACATCGATTATCCTGTGCTAGAGAAGATGACCCCCGAAATCTTAGAGCTGATGCGCTCCAGCGTGAATCTGGGCACAAAGATTGGCTGTGCCCACTTTGTCTGCCTGATCAGCATCCGGCTGGGCAAGGAGATGACCCCGGTGGTGGGCAAATACATTCGCGCTTGCTTTGTGGGCATCAAGGATCGCAATGCCACGGTGCGCAAGTATAACGCCAGTGCCATTGGCCATCTCCTGGGCCTGGCCAAGGAGCAGTCAATCAAGAGCCTGTTCGCCAAGCTAGACGAACTGTATGTGGAGCAGCCGGGAAATCGTTCCATCGCCCTAACTATTCAATCAATGAATAAGCGCCACCATGAGCTGCTCAAGGACTATATGGACAGCATGCTTCCTCTTATATTCTTTGCAATGCACGAAGAGGCCAGTGAGGAGACCAAGGCCAATGTGGAGCTGTGGAAGGATCTGTGGAACGATGTCAGTCCGGGAGATGCAGGCATTCGTCTCAATCTGAATGTAATTATACCCAAGTTGGAGACTTCTCTCACCGATGCCAGTTGGTCACGCAAGGCGCAGGCGGCCAATGCCATCCAAACTATAGCTACTCGGTTGAGCAGCTCCCTGGAAGAGCCCGACCGAGTGCGACTCATCAGGCTTCTCCTAACCGGGCTGCAGGGTCGCACTTTTGAGGGCAAAGAGCGCCTCCTTCAAGCTCTGGCTGGACTCTGCAAGGGTCTAAATCGCACCCATGAAATCTGTCCCACCATCATCGATGCCGCCATGAGGGAGGCCAGGAAACGAGAGCCTATCTATCGCACCAATGCCTTGGCTTCTTTGGGCAACATTCTCGACCAGCTTGAAGCAGATCGCTTTGAGGAGGTGTACAACATGAGCTGGAATCTCTTAGAAAAGAAAGAGCTTCGCAAGGAGTCTGACGATGAGGATGAGCCCAGCACCAGCCAGGATCTAACTGCCGATGAGCGCAACAAGCGCGCTCAGACCCTCAACCGACTGAAGGAGGTGGTATGGGAGACGCTGGGCAAGTCCTGGCCTCGTCACTCCATTGAAACCCAGCACCGCTACCAGCTCTTCTTCGCCGAAAACTGCACCAGCATTCTGGCGGAGAGCACGCGCCCAGTGCAGGTCAGCCTACTGGCAGCCCTTACCAAGTATATCGAGCGTCTGCATGTCTTCGATGAGTCTGCCCAGTTGCCTGATCTGTCGCAGATTAACCAAGAGAAGAAAATCAAGACAGAGATCAAGGCCACGCCACAAACCCGCGAGGCCATTGTGGAGAAGATCTGCACCGATGTCCTGGCAGCCGTAGCTTTGGCTGCCGGTGTCCCACACACAGGTCTCAAGAAAGAAGCCCTCAACATTGTCCTCATGCTGATCAAGCGGCAAAGCGGGGCCAAGAACCAGCAGCCTCTGAACCTCATCAGGCAGAGCTTCGAATTGAATCTGGAGAAGTTTCAGCGCGATTCCGCTCCAGAGATTCGCTGCCGCATCAAAGACATCGAAGAGAAGCTGGGAAAGCTCACTACTGGTAATTAGAGGACCCTGTGATGTAAGGATTAATCGATTGTGGGTGGCCAAAGGGGGTAAGTCTGGCAAGAAAACATCGCAACTCTGGCTGAAAGAAATTTGTATTTTTTAAATGAAATCATCTGAGGAACCATTTATTAATTAAACTAAAAACTATATTAACTAAATACTAGTGGGGAATACTGTGCTTAATTGGGAATCCTGGTTTTTCACAGCCTCTAGGTTTTATCCAATACGGTTTTTAGGTCGGAGAATCCTTGCAGAACCGCAAATATATCTCATCTTGAGACTCTAGCATAAAGCTTTTAGGATTAAAGCGAATCTCCGGCACTGTTCGCTTACAGACCTCCACGCGATATAGGTTTAAGATGTGAGCCAGGCCTAGCTTCAGCTGGAGGATACCCAGGCGACTGCCTATGCAGCCATGGGGACCAGCTCCAAAGGGTATATAGGTCATGGGCACAATGCTGTCAAGCCTCTCGGGGGCGAATCTTTCGGGGTCAAAGCGGCAAGGATCGGGCCAGTACTAAAAGTTAAAGCTAAGTAAAAGGATTCATCAGGAGTACTTCGCTTTGGACATACCTTTTCATCGCGCTGCAGGCCAAGTATAGAGATGTAAGCTGGCATTCCACGGGGTATCACAAAGTCCACATGTGGCTTTAAGGAGAATCCTTCCGAATCCGGACTGGTGCACTCTCTGTTGATAAAAGCTGCAGCTGGATACAAACGCAAGGCCTCCAGACAAACCATTTTGAGGTAAGGCAAGGTAGACAGTGTATCATAACTAATAGAGGAAGTGCAGCTGCCAAGAAAAGCTTCCCTCAGTTCCTGCCGGAGACGCTGCTGGGTTTCAGGTGCCTTGGCCAGCTCGTAGAGAGTAAAACCCATCAGCGCTGAAGAAGTCTCAAAGCCTGCTAGCAGTATAATGCCCGCCTGGGAGGCTATAAAGTCGGGATGCTGGGAGTAGTGGTTGGAGGAACGACTCAGCTGGAAGTGCTGCAACTGGTTAATAAGATCCCCCTTCTTGGGCTCGTCATGATCCTCGACCAAGTGCCTCATAAACTGTGCATAATCCTCGCTGAAAACCTTGGCTCCCACTACCTTGGTCCACTTGGGCAGAAAGAATACGCTCATAAAGTCCAAGACCTTCCGTGGATTGGTTTTAAACAACTCCTTGGTTTTCTTGAGTAGCTGGGATCTTCCCTGGCGTAATCCTCCCACATCCAGGCTATAAAAGAGATTTCCCGTCACATCGGTGGTGTACAGCTGGCACATTCTGCTCAAGGGAAGCACTCTCTCTGATAGGTTCCTTAGCTTTTCCTTCAGATAGTTCTCCAGGTCGTGGACCACGTTCAGCATCTGGGGATACATCACCTCGCGCAGGCGACCGCTGGTGAAGAGCTGCGACATGCACTGCCGACTCTCCTTCCAGTTGTGGTATTTGGCCAGAGGCAGCGTCAAGTTTCCCATAGGATCTCCAACGTCCGCTGCTTCGTAGCGATTCAGAAAGCTATTGAAATGCTTAATCAGCACCAGGCGGATTATCTCTGGATCTCTGATCATTAAAGCTGGGGTCTGGAGCACAAAGAAGCCTATAATCTTGGCCTGACTGCAGCGTGGATCGGCGTAGATATTCTTAAAGAGATCGCCAAAGGAAATCCGGAGAAAAAGGAGCTGGCGGAGGTGACCCAGAGGGGAACAGGAGGAGACTGGCAGATGGGGTATTCCAAGCTTGGTAAAATAAGAGTACTTGTGCCTCAGCCAGGAATGCAGCATCAGCGTGGTGAGCAATAGGAGCCAGAGAATCAACATTGTGCCTAGAAAAGTATAAAGAATATTACGGATTTTTTAATTAATTAACATATCAAAAATGATCCTTAAACCCCTAAAACCATTATCTTATTTCTGGTGAAATAATTGATTTAGAAAAGCAAAGGAAATATTTTTGAAGCCCCTTTCTATTTATAAAGAATATGACCTTGTTCATGAACAACCCAGGAGAAAAAACAAACACTGAAATATCACACAAAAGAACCCAACTTAGCATCACAAAGGAGACCTGCCCATTCATGGAATTCATTCACAGACTAGAGGATCATCTCGATGAACCCCATATAAAGCTCTACACCAGCTGAGTTGACTTGGTTTCCGCCAGTAGAGAACGGGTTTTAGTAGCGACAACATGGCTCTGGAAATGCTGATCCTCTCAGTGCTCCTTCTAGTCCTTGTATGTGGCTTCCTGCACAGGCATTACTCCTTCTGGCAGCGCCTGGGAGTGCGCGAGATCAAGCCCAAGTGGATAGTGGGCAACCTCATGGGACTGCTCAACATGCAGAAGAGTCCCGCCGAGTTTATGTCCCAGCTGTACAATCATCCGTCGGCGGAGAACGAACCCTTTGTGGGCATCCATGTGTTCCATAAGCCTGCCCTGCTGCTGAGAGATCCGGAACTGGTGAAAAACATCCTGGTCAAGGATTTTGGGAAATTCTGCAATCGATACTCGAACTCCGATCACAAGGCAGATCCCTTGGGATCACAGAACATTTTCTTCTTGAAAAACCCCGCCTGGAAGGAGGTGCGCTTGAAGCTGTCGCCATTCTTCACCGGCAACCGGCTGAAGCACATGTTTCCCCTGATCGAGGAGGTGGGTGCCAGCCTGGATGCCCATCTGCGCCAGCAAGCGCTGCACAACGAACGGATGCGCTGTTTCGATTTGGAGGCCAAGGAACTGTGCGCTCTCTTTACCACGGATGTGATTGCCACCGTAGCCTATGGAGTGCAGGCAAATAGTTTCACGGATCCCAAGGGGGAGTTCCGGCGGCATGGACGTTCTGTGTTCGAGTTCAGCCTGCTAAGGGCGGCGGAGTTCACCATGGTCTTTTTTCTGCCACATCTGATTCCTTTCTTTGGCTTTAAGGTGGTGCCCGCTGAGGCCACTCGCTTCCTGCGCAAGACCATCAACTATGTGATGGAGGAGCGCGAGAAATCTGGCAAGTCACGCAATGATCTCATCGATATACTCATCGAGTTCCGCAGGAGTACGCAGCAGGCCAAGGCTGCGGGCATCAAGGATCAGTTTGTGTTTGAAGGCGACATCCTGGTGGCCCAGGCCGTGCTCTTCTTTACAGCCGGCTTTGAGTCCTCTTCCTCCACCATGGCCTTTGCCATGTATGAGCTAGCCAAGGATGTGGATATGCAACAGCGTTTGCGGAATGAAATCCAGGAAGCTCTGATTCAAAGCGGTGGCCAGGTAACGCTCCAAATGATTGAGTCGCTGGTGTACATGCAGATGATTCTGCTAGAGGTGTTGCGCATGTATCCTCCCCTGCCCTTCTTGGATCGCGAGTGCACCTCTGATCAGGCTTATCCTTTGGTTCCTTTTAGCAATATAAGGGTGCCCAAGGGAATGCCTGTCTACATTCCTTGCTATGCCATACACATGGATCCCCAGGTGAGGTTTTCTTTTAAATTACTAACTCAAATCCTAGGACTGAGTTCTGCCTACAGTTCTTTCCTCAGCCTAGGAAATTCCAGCCGGAACGATTCTCCCCTGAAAATCGAAAGAGCCACAGACCCTACACCTATATGCCCTTTGGCCTAGGTCCGCATGGCTGCATCGGCGAACGTTTCGGCATGCTCCAGACGAAGGTGGGTCTGGTGAACATACTCCGTAACCACCTGATAACTACATCGGAACGCACTCCACGCCGCATGCAACTGGATCCCAAGGCGATTATTACCCAGGCCAAGGGGGGCATTCATCTGCGACTGGTCCGTGATCCTTTGGGTGTCTAACCCCAAGGGGAAACTTACCCTTTTTTTTGGAGTTCAGCAAGGGAATACCGAATATCTTGGAACAACAACCGAATGAGAACTAAGCCGGAGATTCGCGTGTTTTGGCATTAAGAATTAAACTAGTGTCGCGCATATTGGTGGGCAATTTGATTGACGAGTGGCGTGTTTATCCGCCGGAGAAATGACTTGGTAGATCAATCACTCACTCATATAGATATATACTCAGAATATATATAGATACAGTTCCCTAGATCATCTTGAAAACGTTTAAAAACACATTTGCATGTGCGAGATGTATTAGATGTAGATTACATTTATTTATTGGTGGCGTAATTCCATAGACCTCTCCCCTGGAGTTCAACAGATTACATTTTAATTTGATAATTCTTTTGTTTTGTTTTTTATTTACCAGCTTCATAGCGCCGTTTCTGACGCGGATTATTATAAAATTGGTAAAACGACGGCTGTCGGAAGGCGATTACCTCGTCACTCACTATCTGCGTCTATATTAGATTTAGGTCTAGAGTTCACCGATTCAGTGCACCCGCGATGCACTGTTGTCGTAGAGACGATCGTTGACCATCTCCAGGTGGAGGCCACCCTCGGCCTGTAGCACAAAGCCCTTGGGATCGAACTTCATTTCCTTTATGGTATCGGCACAATTTCTCACAGCATGGTTCTTAAACAGATGCACCAGTCCCAGCTTGGTCTGGAGTAGGCCAATCCGGCTGCCAATGCAGTTGTGGGGACCGCTTCCAAAAGGCTGATAGGCCATGGCCACAATGTTTTTGCGATTCTCGGGCGAGAAGCGCTCCGGATCAAACTGGCTGGGATTGGTCCAGTACTGGGGATCAAGGGAGCATCAGAAAGTTTACTTAGTTCATCTTAATAAAATCATTACCTTGGGATCATGATGTAGTCCATAGACTGGTATAAACACAGCCGTTCCGATTTCGTACGTATAATCGTAGAAAGGCTTCAGTGTCAGATCTGGCTCGCCCGCGATGCTGTTGTACTCTCGGTCCAGGAATGGCAGCACTGGGTACATGCGCAGCACCTCATCCACCACCATGGAAAGATACTCCAGCGACTGGATCTTCTCGTAGGACAGAGTTCCCCCACCTTCCACTAGAGCTTCGTTGATCTCCTTTCGCAGGCGTTCCTGCAACTTCGGATGTTTGGCCAGCTCGTAAAGAGCAAAGGACATCGTCGAGGAGGAGGTTTCGAAGCCAGCGGTGAAAAAGACTCCCGCCTGAGCCACCAAGAAATCATTATTTCTTGCATAATGTGGTTTTGTTGGCTTGTCGGCCGCCTCCTTTCGCAGACCAACTAGTACATCAATCAAATCGTTGCGTACTAAGCCAGTGCGCTCCCTTTCCGCCATCACGTGACCGATGGTGCTGCGCATAAAGTGGGCAAACTCCTCCGTAAAGAACTGGATGCGCAGCAGCGACACCAGCTTGGGCAGGAAGAAGGCCACGAAGAAATCCTTGGCACGGGGTATGGTGAAGGTGAACAGCTTGCGACCTTGGTTACGGAACTCGGCATTCGGATTTTCCAGGCTGTTCGCCCGGACACCAAAGGCGATGGTGGCGATGCTGTCTGTGGAGAACTGTGCGCAGATCTCCTTGGCCTCGGTGATGAATGTACCAGAGCTCTTCTCCCCGTGTTTCTGAAGAGTAATCTCCAGGTCTTTGCCAATCTGTAGGGGCACCATAAACTTACATTTCTTGTAGATCTAAGAACTATAGATTACCTCTTGCATCAGACTGTACATCTGCTTGACCTTGCCGCTGGTAAAGACAGGCGTCAGCTTGGTGCGGATATCCTTCCAATGGGTATCCCTCACAAAGAACAGATTGTTATAGCCTATAGGATCTCCATGGGGATCACAGCGGGCGTTGCGGTTGTGGAACCGATTAAAGTCCTTTATCAGCACGGATTTAATCAACTCGGGATCCCGGATAATCAGGCCGGGCCTGTTGAGGGCATAAATTCCCACCACGGCTTCGTCCTTGACCCGAGGATCGTTATACAGCTCCGACAGGTACATGCCGAACGAATTCTTCATCTGGAAGACTGCCTTGGTGTTTCCAATAATGGGCGTGGGTGGGATGTAGGGCAAACCCTTGCGCTGCCAGTAGGTGTGGTTGCGCTGGAACCACACGTACACCGCCACCAGGGCGGCGACCACCAGAAAGAGGGCCTCCGTTAATGCCATCTTTGGATTACGTTATCCTTATCGGAATTCTAAAAACCTGCAATCAGTCAATTAATAAATTTATTACCTGATACGGTTTTGAGTTAGGTCAACACCCCTCAGTTCCCATCTTATCTTGGCTAAAACTAGATGGTCAAGCAGAGCCTTTCGTGTTTTTCAACCCAAAAATAGTTTGCTACCGTGTTCAGTTCACTTATTATCAGTTATTAGTAGTTATCTTGCAACTTATTTAAGTGCCGTAAAAACAAATATTTTAAGTAATAAGTAGCTTTAAGTTAAAAAGCTACACAGATTTTTACCATGCTGATAAAGGGACTTAGTCCATTGACTTGAGGCGCACTTTATGATGCCATAAAACATTTAATGCAAGAAAAACAGATAATACTGTTTACTATATTTGTATTTAGATTACAAATACAAATAATTAAAAACTGTTTAGCAGTTTCTAGTATATTAAGAATATAAAAACTTGTATTAAAAAAAAAAGTTTACAGGTTTTTAAAAGCCTACAAGGACATTCAATTTAAATTATCAATATAATTATTCACTTTTTTTGAGTTTAAAATCGTTTTAATATTTTTTTCACACCTTATTTGCAAGTAACCTTATTCGCAACTTGTTTTTCCAGCTCAAGTTCAAGGAAATTTGTTAGATTTCAGAGCTCCCGAGCACACACGACCGACAATTAAAGCTTTTCGCAGCAAATTGAATTTGTGTTCGCGTTTTTATACCTTTCAAAAAGTTCTGAGATAGCGTTTTCAAAAGCTAAAAGTTCACCTTTGTGGTGAATAGAGAGCTGTAACGAAAACAAATAATTATGGCAAAGAACCAAGCGAATAGAAATTATTCAGAGGTGACAAAAAATAAAAAAAGGCCGAAAAGCTTTGAGGGGGAAAGGGGTTTAAGATATAAGCATGGGTTATAAATTTCTCAGTTGGTATTTAAAAAGTGTTTTCAAGTGCCAAAAAATTATCTTGTTTGATGAAAAGATAAGTCTAAATAAAAACAAACCAATCGTACTAACCTACGGCAAAGAGTTAAGAGAGATGGCCAAGAAATGCTGACGAATAAAACTGAAAAATTATGAAACTATTGAGGGGAACCAAAAAATGCCAAGTTAAATATGACTTGTACATTTCTCAATTGGTTCTCAGATAGCGTTTTCATGTGCTAAACAAAAGTCTGCTGTTTGGTAAAACGAGAGCTCTTAACAATAAATAAGAAAGGAAGCTAACCTCGGCACGCCGAAGTTTGTATACCCTTGCAGATTGGTTTCGATGTTTATATTATAGATTTAAATGCTGAAAACACTCACAAAACAGAGTTTCATTAAATTTTACCTATACTTATTATGTTTACAGTTTGACAGTTTCAGTTTTACATTCCCAGCTTTACATATTTTATACATTTACCGATCGCTTCTATGGCAGCTATATGATATAGTTGTCCGATTTTTATAAAATGTATACCAAAATTCTAGAATAATAAAAAAAGCTTATATCTGAGAGTAGATAAACATACGTTGAAAAACAACGAAGCTATAATTTTTATACCCTTGCAGGGTATTTTATTTCCAGTCCGAAGCTCTTTACGCATTGAAGGAGTCATTTCCGACCCCATAAACCATATACATATATTCTTGATCAGCATTAAAAGGCGCATCTTTCTGGCTAAGTCCGGAAGAAAAAAATTTGCAATCAATTTTTTCAAAATTTTATAAGGGGTTACATCATTAAAATTCTCAAAATTTGATAAAATTTTCAATTTCTAACTAAGTATGCAGATTTGTTAACCTTATAAAAACTAACATAACACCGCTTTCCGAATGCAAATAAAGGCATTTTTAACAGAGTTTTTTTTTTTTTTTTTAATTTAATTTTAATTTGCTATTTTTCTCTGTTCAATTACAGACTTTCCATCGTCATTGCCATCGCCATCGCTCCTAGTCATCAGTATCAGTAGACCTGACCCACCCCGGCCAAGAACCAAGAGAAAGGACCAACGACACACGCAAAAGGATGGTGGATAAGGGATGGGAATGGAGGAATAGGGATCAGGAATCAGGGATAAGGAGAGAACACAGACAGTCAGGTCTGCCGGCTACTTTTACAACAACAGCAACGAACACAACAAGCAACATTTTAATTTTAAAATACTTTATTTTATTCTATGTTAATGAACCTAAATAAAAACAATGAAATACATTATTTTATATTATTTTGTTTTATTATATTTTTCCTATATAAGAACAATGAAATGAGCATCACTGGTAGTGAGTGAGATGGCATTTTAATGCAAAATAGCTAGATGAGCATCACTGGCAGTTAGTGAAATGTCATTTTCTCCCAATAATGCAAAATAGCTAGATGAGCATCACTGCCGTTAAGCCTGATTTTATAGCCTCCCAATATGGCAAAATAGCTAGATGAGCATCACTGCCATATAGCCCGATTTTATTGCCCCCCAATATTGCAAAATATAGCCAGATGAGCATCACTGATGCACATGAGCATCACTGATGCAAGTGAGCAAAATTTCTAAAATTTGGCCGCTTTCCAAACTGGGGTAACAGGCGAACAGAAACCAGCAGCAAGCAACTGAAAACTGGTATAAACTGTAATAAAAACTTTTGGGCAAAAATAATAATTGGTATAAACTGTTATATTCCATTTAATGCATTTATACCTATTTGTTGCCGACAACAACAGCTTGATGGCAACAACAACCTTTTTACAACAACATCCCTACAGCAGCCCATCCAAATTTCCGAAAATTTCCATGCAAATTGCCCGTTTCCCAAATTGGGGTAACAGGCGAACAGAAATCAGCAGCAAGCAACTGAAAACTGGTATAAACTGTTATAAAAAGTCCAAGTTTCGAACCATTGATCTTGGAGTAAGCGAAGACTCAAACCAGATGTGACCATATTGTAAATTTTTAGGCTAAAATGTTGCTTAAATGCACCTGGGCACACTGAAACTGACTTTGCATCAGTGATGCTCATCTGCATCAGTGATGCTCATCTCCATCAGTGATGCTCATCTAGCTATATTGCAATATTGGGAGGCTATAAAATCGGGCTTAATGGCAGTGATGCTCATCTGGCTATATTGCAATATTGGGAGGCTATAAAATAAGACTTTGCATCAGTGATGCTCATGTAGCTATTTTGCAATATTGGGAGGCAATATATCAGGCTTAATAGCAGTGATGCTCATCTAGCTATATTTCTTTATTGGGACAAAATAGATAGATGAGCATCCCAATATTGCAATATAGCTAGATGAGCATCACTGATGCAGATGAGCATCACTGATGGAGATGAGCATCACTGATGCAGATGAGCATCACTGATGCAAAGTCAGTTTCAGTGTGCCCAGGTGCATTTAAGCAACATTTTAGCCTAAAAATTTACAATATGGTCACATCTGGTTTGAGTCTTCGCTTACTCCAAGATCAATGGTTCGAAACTTGGACTTTTTATAACAGTTTATACCAGTTTTCAGTTGCTTGCTGCTGATTTCTGTTCGCCTGTTACCCCAATTTGGGAAACGGGCAATTTGCATGGAAATTTTCGGAAATTTGGATGGGCTGCTGTAGGGATGTTGTTGTAAAAAGGTTGTTGTTGCCATCAAGCTGTTGTTGTCGGCAACAAATAGGTATAAATGCATTAAATGGAATATAACAGTTTATACCAATTATTATTTTTGCCCAAAAGTTTTTATTACAGTTTATACCAGTTTTCAGTTGCTTGCTGCTGGTTTCTGTTCGCCTGTTACCCCAGTTTGGAAAGCGGCCAAATTTTAGAAATTTTGCTCACTTGCATCAGTGATGCTCATGTGCATCAGTGATGCTCATCTGGCTATATTTTGCAATATTGGGGGGCAATAAAATCGGGCTATATGGCAGTGATGCTCATCTAGCTATTTTGCCATATTGGGAGGCTATAAAATCAGGCTTAACGGCAGTGATGCTCATCTAGCTATTTTGCATTATTGGGAGAAAATGACATTTCACTAACTGCCAGTGATGCTCATCTAGCTATTTTGCATTAAAATGCCATCTCACTCACTACCAGTGATGCTCATTTCATTGTTCTTATATAGGAAAAATATAATAAAACAAAATAATATAAAATAATGTATTTCATTGTTTTTATTTAGGTTCATTAACATAGAATAAAATAAAGTATTTTAAAATTAAAATGTTGCTTGTTGTGTTCGTTGCTGTTGTTGTAAAAGTAGCCGGCAGACCTGACTTTCGGTGGTCTCTCCTTATCCCTGATTCCTGATCCCTATTCCTCCATTCCCATCCCTTATCCACCATCCTTTTGCGTGTGTCGTTGGTCCTTTCTCTTGGTTCTTGGCCGGGGTGGGTCAGGTCTACTGATACTGATGACTAGGAGCGATGGCGATGGCAATGACGATGGAAAGTCTGTAATTGAACAGAGAAAAATAGCAAATTAAAAACTAAAAAAGGCATAACTCTGTCAAAAATGCCTTTATTTGCATTCGGAAAGCGGTGTTATGTTAGTTTTTATAAGGTTAACAAATCTGCATACTTAGTTAGAAATTGAAAATTTTATCAAATTTTGAGAATTTTAATGATGTAACCCCTTATAAAATGTTGAAAAAATTGATTGAAAATTTTTTTTCTTCCAGACTTAGCCAGAAAGATGCGCCTGCTAATGCTGATCAAGAATATATATGGTTTATGGGGTCGGAAATGACTCTTTCAATGCGTAATGAGCTTCGGACTGGAAATAAAATACCCTGCAAGGGTATAAAAATTATAGCTTCGTTGTTTTTCAACGTATGTTTATCTACTCTCAGATATAAGCTTTTTTTATTATTCTAGAATATATAGCAGTAAGAGCATAGAGAAGACTATATGCAAAGTTTCATTCAGATAGCTTTAAAACTGAGGGACTAGTTTGCGTAGATAACAGACAGACGGACATGGCTAGATCGACTCGGCTGTTGATGCTGATCAAGAATATATATACTTTATAGGGTCGGAAACGACTCCTTCACTGCGTTGCAAACTTCTGACTGAAATTATAATACCCTGCAAGGGTATAAAAAGTATGGGACCCATAAAAACATAAATATAACTGCAAGTATATCATGATTTATAAACTTTATTTAAATGCAAAGTTTTCTCTTTTGAAACCTTCTACAACTTGCCTAATATAAAGCTAATATTTAAAAAACGACAACAATGAATTATTCTGTATAAAAGGCATTGCATGTTTAATTCAAATTAACGATTACTCAGAGCCCGCTTATAGTGTTCATGTCAAGACCGATGATGCGTCAGGTGGCTTTATAGCAACGATGGCGTAGTGCCTGGGCGATATAACGGGATCAAACAAGTCGATTAAATAGCTGCGCTCGTAGCCCAGTTCCTTCAGATACAGCAGACGGTCCAGTAGTATCAGACTCTCTAGAACCGGAGCAAAGGACATGCGCAGCAGATAGAACAAGTCCAAATAATGCTTATCCTTAGCATATTCCTGCAGGAGCATCTGAAGTTCAGCCTCTTCAATGGCTGCCAGCCAAGGAGCTTCCAATTTGGCGGCACATTTCCGTATGTAATCAGGGAAGTCCTTGAATTTACGCACCTTGCCCACCTGCAGTTCGTTTTTTGAATGCGGTGCATGGCGGCAAACCAGGATCTCCAAGAGAGCCCGGTAGTATAGTGTTATGTTTGGCAACTCCTTGCCATCCAGGGTTCGCTCAATGGATTGAGCCGCCAGCATCCTGGCATTCCGACCCATTCGGACCTGTTGCTCCCGAAGATACTGGCTTAAGGGAAAACCAAAATCCGTTTGCATGTCCATCAGGGCCTTGTTGCCGAAGAACTCCTTTTGGGAGAAGTGTTCCCTCAGCAGGTGATAGCAGCAGCCAATATTACAGAGTATCCTGCAGTCGGATTGGGCATGGAATACCTGCAGGCAAGTGGAAGCCAGATTCCCGCAGGTATGAAGTCCAGTCAGGCAAATGTTGTGGTTGGGCTTGGCTATTTCTGCTAGTTGAGGAAAATGCTCGGCCAGCAGCTCGCCAAAATTCAACTCGGTCGTTATAAATCTGGCTGTGGTCTTGTAATTCTCCAAGGATGGTGCATTCTTTGAGGTATCTCGGGTGGGCGACTTTTTGCCACGCCTCTTGGGAGTGATGCCTTGACTCTGCAGCTCGGCGCGTTCTGTGAGGCCATTCCAAGCGCGCTGAAATTAAAGAAAATATTTAATTTTTGAATTAAACCGTTTCTCATGAATTAACCAACACTGTTTTGTTTGAATCTGTCATCGATAACCGATATATCGCTACTAAACTAGTTTCCCATCCCTATCACTCTTCTTCTTCCTCGACAACGCGAAAAACGTTTTGCCGGCGTTTTTTAGCATAATTTTCCTGTTTTTCCTGTAAAACCCGACGAAAATCACACAAACATCATGTCGGCTGGCATGCCCATCAACCCCAAGCCCTTCCTGAACGGCCTGACGGGAAAACCAGTGCTGGTGAAGCTGAAATGGGGCCAGGAGTACAAAGGCTTCCTGGTCTCCGTCGATGGATATATGAACATGCAGCTGGCCAACACGGAGGAGGTGATCGAGGGCTCCGTCACCGGTAATCTCGGCGAGGTGCTCATCCGCTGCAACAACGTGCTGTACATCAAGGGCATGGAGGACGACGACGAGGAGGGCGAGATGCGGGATTAGCAAGAAAGAGAATCGCTTGCGAGAAGGAAGCCACTTAACTTAAGTCTATGAAATTAATGAAATAAAGCTATTTTTATTTTGTAGTCGAAAGTGTACCTGCAGTTTGCGATTCCGGCTCAGAGCGTTCTCTGTGTTGGCAGCATTGGCGTCGATGCCGAGCACGCGGTGGCCATACTGGAGAGCCAGGCGTGACGAAAGATAGCCCTTGCCATCGCCCGCATCCACAATGCAGCAATTCTGGCTCGAGTTTTTCGCTAGATGATCCACCAAAGCAGCGGTTAACTCCACCTGGAGAAGAAGAGAGAGATGAACCCCTTGTTGCTTTATAAGTCTGTGGATTTTTCTTACCTCATGGCACTTTTTGGCGCTCATAAACTCTCGAATGCTTAATTTATCAGCGTTCTCTGGTCCCTCAATGAGCTCCTCCACACTGGTCAACAGCTCTGGATGGAGCGACAAGCGTTCCTGCTCTCCCTGGGCTAGAAAGCTTTTCCACTCGGGGAATGCCTTCGTTTTTTCACTACCTTGCCAAAAGAGCTGCTCTATGGCTAGGTCCACATCCTCCTTCCCTGCAATCTCCTTTCTTAAAGTCTCTGGTAGAAAGTTGTCCCAATGCTGGTCCGTCAAGTAGTTCACCATGTGGCAATTCACAAAGTCCCAGTGGGGATGGAGGAAGGCAAGCAAGCCGTCAATCCGCCTCTGCAACTGGGTCACTCCCGCCTTGGACATTCTGCTAGAAGCTGTAATCCTTGCGTTCAGGTGCCGTGGTGTCAGGAGAAGCTGTTCCAGCGCTTTTTTTGGACCCCAGCAAGGCAGAAAGACGACGCTGGGAGTTACGGATATTTTCCACAGCTCCCACAATGTCCGCCTCCGGATCGTTGGTCCGGGGAAACTGCTCGATGAGCGTGCGCAGCTGCTCCAGGCTGCGACGTACCTTGTCGGTGTGCTTTAGCTGCTGCTGGGCCACCACTTGACCCAGGATCCTGCCCAGTTCCTCGCCCAATTGGACACCCTGGGCGTAGCCCAATTTATAGCCCTCCTCGTTGCCCTGCTCCTGGCCGTCGGTTAAACCCTCCTCGTAGCCCAGGCGAGCCTGTTTCTCCTCGGTAAGCACGATATCGTCAAATAGATCGTTTATATCCCGCGATGGAGATGTCATCATATGACAAGTTGGAGGCAATCCGGCTTAAGTTTTTAACTAATTATTAAAAAAAATTAATATTAAAATAGTGATTAGATTTTAGCCGAAATGTGTTTCCACTTTGGGTATTTTGCAACACTGGTTCTGTACATCAAAGGTATTCCCGCATTTGTTTTTAAATTTAATCAGGGGTATTCATTTACTAAACTTTAAAGTTTAAACCCAACTTAAAAATCGTTTTTTATTCAGTTGTTAATTTTATTCAACTGTTTTTAACATTTTGCTAATTTGGCATGCTCGCTTCGGCAGAGAATTTGGAATTCTTTCTAGAGATTGGTATAATTTAAGCTAGTGAAGCCAGTGCTTTAAGCCAGCTAAAGGCACAATAACCGGTGCTAAAGCTAAGGGGAGATTCCCGTTGCATCCACTAGTTCCAGACGTCGTCGTCCTCCTCGGAGGGCCCTTCATCGCTGCTCTGGGATCCCTTGCGCGGCTGCACGGACGGCGGAATCACACGCGACAGCTGCTGCATAAGGGTATTGCCTCCACCAGTGGCGGCAGCAGCCTCTCCGGGATTTTGGGCCCCAGAAATACCCTTGCGTCGCAGCATCAGCTTGTTGTGCAGGTCCGCCATCAGATCCCCCGATGCCGAGGCAACGGCACCCGCCTTGGACCGTGTGTTATCCACGACATCGAGTGGTGCAGCCGCCTGGTTTCGCAGTCGGCCTCCGGATGCGCCTCCAGCATTCCGTATGGCAGCCATGAGCTCCGATCTTGGATCAACAGTTTGGGGAGGGGGTGGGGGCATTCGGAGGGGCGTGGAAGGAGAGGGCGAGAGCGGTTTAACAGCTCCTTTGGTGGGAAAAGGTGGAGGCGACGGCGGTGCCTGCGCTGGCGGCGGTGGCGGCGGCGGTGGTGGAGGAGGTGGCGGGGGTGGTGGTAAGGTTCTAGGTGGTGGCATATACGGACCCAGTCGATTCTTATTCGGCCCTGGAATGTGGGTCTGGGCCGCAATGGCCTGCACCGTGATCTCGTGCTCTTCCAGTCCCAGGTCTGGCAGCTCCGGTAGGTCAGCCAGATCAGGCAGGTCGGGCAACTCTCCGTACTGGTACGACGGGGCAATGGGAGTCTGTTCCTCCACTGGCTGGTACTTCAGATCGTTGGCTATTCCGGGGAGATCGGGCAAATCCAGCGGCACATCGATGGCCGGCGCAGCCAGAGCAGCAGGATTGTAGCGCAGATCTCCGGCTGGAGTGGCCAGCTTGGTGGCGCCATAAGCCAGCGAGCGAGGAGCCGGAGCGAGCAGCTCTTCAGTCGTGCTCTTCAAGGACTGACTGGCGACGCGGCGAGTGCTTTGCGGAGGCAGTGATCGTTTCCATGCATTCAAGTCCTCCCCAAAAGCGAACTCATTGGTGTTGAAGCGCATAAGCGAGGGCACAGAGTGAACTCCGGCCACAGGAAGGGCTCCCAGGCCAGCAGTGCGATTCGTCATCTTTCGCTCGGCTACCAAAGACGACTCGTGCTCCCGGTCGCCGCGCACATGGAAGAAGACAGCCTCCTCATTGGGATCGCTGTTACTGCTGCCGGTGTTTCCCGGATGTGACAGCTGCTCCGGACGTGGCTGCGGCTGCTGCTCCTCCATTAGCTTAGTCGTCACCTGTGGAAAGGTGGCCGGCAGAGGGGCCAGGATGTCGCTGGCCGGGAATCTTGCTGGGGCAAAGATCTGGATGGCCCGCTTGGAGCCCACGAGCGCATCGATTTTCGCCTGCGCCCGCTTCACACGACTGTTTATGTCCTCAACCTTTGATCCATTCCTCGCCAAGCGAGCATCAATCCGCTCGAAAATAGAGTTTATCGTTTTGTGTAGACAGTCCAGCGACTGGGCTGCTTTGATTATGGTCTCCTGGTGGTGCAGGTCGGTTGGAATTATGGACACCTGGTAGGCGCTGCGCAGGTAGGGGGCTTCTTCGTCCATTTTTAATTGGCAAAATAACAAAATAATAAAAAATTATCTGCAAGCCAGTGTGGCCAGCGCTCGGTGACACCGAAAAACCTCTAGTGTTTATAAGCTGTGTTTTGTTTGTGTTTTATGAAATGCTTATATTATTTCCTGGAGAAAGTTTTAAAAAGAGGGTAGTCTTCCGGGGGGAGGATAAAATAATAACTTGATATTTTAAAAAGAGTAGAAAAAAGGTTGCAGAGTTAAATACTTTGCAGGACTTGCAGTGTGGCCAGATGGAATTCTGAACAGGAAAGCTTTTGTTTGGTTTTTATTTTGCTTCCCCAAAGAATGGACGAGTTCGACGATGATTCCTTCAACGATGTCTTGGGCTCTATGGAAATGCCCACGGCTCCCAAGCAACCCAAGGTCCAGGAGCCGCCGGCGGCAACAGTTGTGGCCAGCAGCAACAGCAATCCCAGCTCCACTACAGCTCCTGCCGCCAAGCCGGCTTCAAATCCCCACAGCGTCCTCGTGCACAGCAAGCAGCGTGGAAATCCCATCCTAAAATCCATTCTCACTGTCCCACTGGAGTTCCGTGACGACATTATACCCGACTATGTGGTGGGACGCACCTCCTGTGTCCTGTATTTGTCCCTAAAGTATCACAATCTCAATCCGGACTACATTTGTCAGCGGCTTAAAGCTCTGGGCAAGATGTACGAGCTGCGAGTGCTGTTGGTTCAGGTGGATACACCGGAGCCGCACAACGCCCTCAAGAGCTTGACCAGGATCTCACTGCTAGCGGATTTGACCATGATGCTAGCCTGGAATGCGGAGGAGGCAGGGAAAATCATTGAGACCTACAAACAGTTTGAGAAGCGGCCGCCAGATCTGATCATGGAGCGTGTGGAGTCGAATCCGCATCAGAAGGTAATTATGATGAAATACCAATTGGTTTCCCGAAACTGAAGCTCCCGTTCCAGCTGGTGGCAGCTTTGACCAACATCAAACCAGTGAACAAAACGGATGCCGTGACTCTGCTGCAAACCTTTGGGAATCTGGGCAACATAATCATCGCCAGCGAGGAGCGGCTCTCCCAGGTGATGGGCCTGGGTCCGCGGAAGGCCAAGAAGCTCTACAAGACTCTACAAGAGCCCTTCCTCAGCAAGTAGAGAGACTCCAGCTCGTCCATCATTTGAATACTTTAATTTCTTAGCAGAAAGAAACTGTACAAAAAATCAAGTTGCATTATTTTTTAACACCTTAAATATACCACCACACATATGTATTGATCCGCTGGCTACTCTGTCACCTTCCAAATCTTGATGGTGCCGTCGTCGCTGCAGGATATAAGTTGCCCGGCCACCGCTGGATTCCACTTCACTGAATTCACGTCCTGCTCGTGTGCGCTCTCCTCTGCCGTCAGTTGCTCGAACGTGGGCTCATCTGGCTTGGAGTCGCTGCACTCCTTGAATATCCGGATGCCATCGTCGCCGCAGGCACTGGCTATCAGCCCTGTCAGCTTGCACCAGGACACATCGTAGACGGCACGCGAATGCTGACCGGAGAGGGTGCAGACGCACTTCCACACCGTCTGCTTGTCGGGCGTGGCCACGCCGGCCTCGTTGCCGGGATGATAAGCCCGCCAGATCTTCAACGTGGTGTCATCGCTGCAGGAAACCAGACGCTCGCCATCTGCATCAAAGTCTATCCCCCAAACGGTGCTCGTGTGGGAGGATAGCGTCGCCGTGCAGTCCCAATCGCTGTCCAGTGCATCCTCCGCAAACATCTTGATGGTATTGTCGTATGAGGCGGAGGCCAAGATCTCCTTGGTAGGATGCCACACCACTCGCTTCACGTCCTGTGTGTGGGGATTCAAGACAGCGGCGCACTCGAACTCATCGTCGCCAGCCACTTCCCAGATCCAAACGGACTTGTCGCGTGAGCAGGTGGCCAGCAGTCCGCCGGAACGCGACCAACTGACGCTCTTCACCTCGTTTTCGTGTCCCTCCAGGGTGGCGTTGCACTCGAACTCTCCCGAGGATTTCGACCAAATTGCCGTGGTGGCATCAAAGCTGGCCGAGGCCAGGAACTGACCGCATGGGGACCACTGTATTTCGCGAATGGTGCGCTTGTGTCCATCAGATAGTATGGTCTTGGTGCTCCAAGTGTTTCCGGTCAGAGACCAAATGCGGATGGCCTTGTCCTCGCCACACGAGGCAAACACGTTGCCCTTGGGATGCCAGGCTACCCCCCAGATGCGTCCCTTGTGCCCCTGTAGGGTGTGTTCCAGAATTAAACGTCCCATAGCTGCCTAAGTGGATAAATCACTGTCTGTTCTGATTTTGATAACAAAGGTGCTGGCGACAAGAAGAAGAATGCGACTTGGCAACAGCTGTTTAGTCAGTGTTGAGAAATGTTAAGGCAAACCTTTTTAAACGTTAAAATTAAGTTAATTTTAATTGCGTTTCTTTTAATGTTAATTGTTATCACTTATATTAATATGAATTTGATCATTGTGACCTTTGATTAATACTTTTTATATATTTAAATTTAAGTGTTCCGCCAACACTGATGTCCGAAACAGTGCTGCACAACGCCAGGTGCATGTTTTCTTATCAGAACTTGTGGAGAAAGTTGTGTATTGTGAATTTTCGTGTTTTGCTGATGCTGATAAGAAAATGAACGGATTGATAGTATTCAACAGCGCCAGCGACGTTGTTTACCGTTGTTTAAATTCTCCACTGACGCAGAAGATAAGAAATGTGGCAGTTGCCCAGGGCTTGCTCCCGGCGGGGGAGCAGGAAAGCGAAAGCCCCTTGGACAGCAACATCTTGCTGCAGATATTCAGCCCCATTGTTGGATCCCAGCGGATAATGCAGTGCCAGTTCGACAACGCCTACTCCAGCCTCCAGTGCGAGCAGGGATTCAACTTGGTATTTGGGGAACTTCTTGGTTTTACCTTCCTCAAGATTGGACACATTCCCGTGGAGCAACTGGGCCGGCAGATGGGTGTGGCCATTACTCTCACCCGGTATTGCTATGGTGCCAACTTGTTTGCCGCCCAGGCGGGGGCCATGCAGCAGGAACTGCTGACGCAGTGCCTCGACTGCTACGAGAGCCTGTTGGGCGAGGAGGACCAGGCCTATCTCCTGGAGGCCATGCCCAAGCTGCTGGTTAACGCGGAGCTGAAGAGGACAATTCACCTGACCCTGGATGCCACTCTGGAGCACCTACGACAGCTGGGCTTGCCCAGGGCCCACGCCCTGTTGTTCGTTTCGCACAAACTGCTGGCCGTCAATAGCACTGGACAAGCTCTGCCGCTTTCCGCCGCTGATTTACTATTCCTCAGCCTCATGTCGCGGGCCATGCAGTCGCCAAAGTCACCGGCACAACGAGCGGTGGCCGTGTTCCTGCAGGGAGTCTCCCACGACGTGAATTCCGGCTGCGTTCCGAGCATCGTACACATTTCCCGCTTGCACGGCAATCAGGTGCTTCTCCAGATAATCGAGTATGCCAACATGCCGCTTACTAGCTGCATCTATGACTCCTTCTTCGTGCTCCAGAAGATCATATCCGTGCAGCACCAGGGGGACTCCGATGCCCTCAAGCCCGCCTACGAGAATCTCGAGTCCTTTGTGGGCCAAACTCTGACAGCTTTGAAGAGATACGCCAAGCAGCGACCGGAGGACATGGAGAACTGCTACAAGAAGTTTGCCACCAAGTGGGAGAACCTGCGGAAAATGTACGCGGAGTACTTTAAGAACTTTGAGCGAGAAATGCTCGTGAGGATCGAGTCGAATTTACCGTCGTTCGGGGAGGAACTGAAGCAGCTCTTCACGCTGGCCTGCTGCGATAGCTCCAGTGTCCATGAGTTGGACCAGCTCGCCGACACGGCGGCCAATGTGGAGGCCAAGCTCTTGGAGTTCGCCGAATTCCTGGCGGTCAAGGCAACCCGCAACTTATCCATCGATGCATATCTGGAGGACTTCCCCGGTCTTGTGCACTTTATGTATGTAAACCGGAGCAGTGGACACATGCTGGCACCGGACCTGCGGCCCAACCAGCTAGTGCCCAAGACTAAGCTCTGGAGCATGGTGGAAATAGCACGTAGCTATTTGAAAAAGGGACAGACCACGGTGATGTGGAAGGACAAGGCCTTCCACTACTCGTACTTCCTCTGGTTCGAGGATCAGTCGGGCAGCACGCTCAGCACCTCGATGGATTTGCAGCAGCACTTTCTGGCCACAGGAGCGGCCAGTGGTAATGGAACGAAATCTCCCACTGAACCGGGTGCCCTCACCATGGACTACTACCACGATCTGGCCGAGCTGTGTTTCCCCAAAATATCGCCGGGAAAAGTGCGTGTCTATGAGTTATACTGCATCCACCTGGGACTGGTAACGGCTACCTGCGCCGTGGAGCATGCCCGTCGACTGGTGGCCACCATCAGCGATGTGGTGGGCGAGGAGACACTTTAATCGTGTTTAATTTTAATAATTTTTCATCCTAGCATTCCATGCCACATTCCCAAAAATTCTAGTCAATTCACGAGGCTCCCCAAGGAGGCGAAATCCTCACGAAATTTGTTACTCCAAGGACAACTATCCACTGTTATAGGCTAAACAATCATCATGATATTTGTAAACTCCTTTTCCGTCACCTTCTAACGGCAATAAAAACTTAACAATTAAAATGTTTTATTGAGTCTCCGGTGTCTGTGCCTTCTTCAGCTCCTCCAGCCTTTCCAGGAAGAAGGATTTGCGAGCTGTCAGCGGCATGGATTTCTGGCGCAGCATGTAGTTCTCATTCCCCAAGGCGGTGTAGGTGTCGTCGCCAATGAGATCTCTTAGAGCAATGTTCTTCTTTAAATGCTTATCGTAGTAGCTGGCTCCGGCGGCCACAAACTGGGGGCCCATGGCGGCCAGTTTCTTGTCAATCTCCGCATCTGTGGCCACCTGATTGAAGTCCTTCATAAAGCACCAGATGCCCGTGCCGAAAAGACCAAGAATGCTGTACAAAACGAAGCGAACCTGGAAATTGGAGACTAGATTTGTAAGGATGGTTTCCTTCCAGAGTAACTTTTCAACTCACGCTTCCGTGGCGGGCAAATAGATTCAGCCGCAGGTTCAGGTAGTGACCCATGGTGTAGACCATTAGGAAGCTCACGCTTGGAAATATCGAGTTGAGGAGCACTCGGTGGGTCTGCAGCTGCAGGACAGCCTTGCTCAGGCCAAACACCTGCTCGTCCTCGTTTAGGACTATGGCCTCCTCCAGGAGCTTGCCGCTGGGAGAGCTCCAATTGATCTGCTGATCTCTGAAGCGGATATCTGCCCGCTTTATCTCCTCCTTGCTGGCATAGCCGTAGTTCACGGGTATACCTAAAGCGCCGCCAAAGCGAAGCTTTGTGGTGCCCGCTTGGAACAGATCAAAGCCAAACACAGTAAAGGGCTTGACGAACTTTCGCTCAAAGTCGGACAGGCCCAGCTGATCCAGGGCCTTCTCCAGGCGCTGCTTCACGGCATCCGGAACAGGACGCTCTATGCCGTGCCTGTAAAGAAGAATGGTTGGTGTGAGTCAAAGTTGGGACACATCCAAGTGCTCCACCTACTGGTAGCATTGCACAAAGTCCCGGTAATACTTCAGGCCAAGGGTGTGCGGCAGGAAGTTGCCCACAAACAGACCAACCGTGGTGGATCCCGCCGCGTAGAAGACCAGCCTGCGTCCTCTTTCAGTCTTGAAAAAGGAGAATAATCCCCCGCCGGCTTTTGGTTTCATCTGCATGCCGTTCCGTTGTTTTGTAATCGCAGCCAGTGGGACCAGAGGAGTGCTGCAAAAACATCGTCGCTATATCGATATCTATCGATGTTCTTATGATTTTCTTATCAATGTTTATTCATTTTTTAAAATTTGTTTGTAAAAATCAAAGCTTAAATAATCTATAAATGGGCTAAAAATGCATTAAATTCATTTCGGAAAGCTGTTTTGTGTTAGTTTTTATAAGGGTAAAAAATCTGCATACCAAATTTAAAATTTAAGCAAATTTTAATTTTGTCCAAATTTTGACAGTTTTAATGATGTTACCCCTTTCATTTTTTTTGAAAAATTTTAGTAAAATTAAAAAAAAAAAATTTTTCATATTTTATTCCTTATTTATTAAGATTTTAATTTCGATTTGAAAAATATATGGGTTTTGGCAATCACTGGATTTTTTGGGCATTTTATGCACTCAAAAAACCTAAAATATTCGCGTTTTATTAATTATTTAGGATTTTAATGACGATTCTAAATATATTTTATGAAATATTCGCATTCTAGTCATCAGAGCTCTAAAAAATCGGTAGTTGCTATAAAAATTTATTAAAATATTTCTAAGAGCATAACAGAAACTGAATTTAAAAATCTCTTTTACTTTTATTTTCTTGTTTTAGGCAGCGTTTCTATACAATGTTACTTAACCCTAGAATATTACACTAACTGCTGGTGGCGCTCTGTAACTTTATGTCGACTACAACTACTTGGTTCTTGGCCTCCTTGTGCCGCCACCAGCGACCCAGGCGGTGCTCCTGGCCCACAGCCACAAACAGTTGGGTGCCATCGGCATTGAAGGCCAGGCCATTGATGAAACCGGCGATGGGTATACTTTGAATCTGCTGCAATTTGCGGGCATTGGGATTCGTCTGCCACAGCCGGACGCAGCCATCACAGGAGCCTGAAAAGAAGTCAAAGTTAAGATGGGAATTGGAAGATTAGTTATGATTCCACCAACCTGTAGCCACCAAATCCGTGTTGACCACCACGGCCAAGGCTGTTATCCAGTTGGCCACACCATTATCCCCTGTTCCATGCGCCACTTGGGTGGTGCAAATGGGTTTCTTCTTCAGGGCGCTCCACAAACTGATGGCTCTGCGGAAAATAACTCAAATTAGTTTGCTTTTCCTCACAGATTTCTATCCAAAGTTACCCATCCATTCCTCCCGAGACAAAATGCTCATCGTTGATCAATTTCACACACTCGATGCTATCCCTGTGCCCATTGTAGATCAGTTGCGACTCCTCGGTGATCTTCCAGATGCGCAAGGAACAATCTGAACCGCCAGCGGTGATGGCTCTCTCCCTGCTCAAGGCATCTATGCTGGTCACGCCCGTTTGGTGGCCAAATCTGTGGAGGATAGGGGGTTAAACTATGCCTATATTCCTGAATTTCTGTGACTTACAAGCTCTCCACGTAGGCCATTTCATCCAGAGACCAAATCTTCACCGATCGATCTTTTGCCGCCGAGTACAGGTCGTGGGTTCCCTTGCGGAAGACCAGCCCCGCCACACTGTCCCTGTGGCCCTTGAGCGTTTTTACATGCTTCATCGTTTGCGGACACCAGATTTGGATGTGGGGACCGCCCTCGGCCAAGGCTAAGTACTTCATATCGGTGGACAGGCAGATGGCGACTATATGGGAGCGCCGCTTCTTGGTGGTTTCGGGTTCCTCGCGATGCGATAACACATCGGATTTCTCCAGCACCTTCCCCGTTTCCGTGCACCATTTGAGGAGGAACTGCGACTTGGCGCCCGTGAAGAGGAACTTGCCATCGGGACTGAGGGCCAGGGCACAGATGGGCGTGTGATGGACTTTGTGCTTGAGCACGCGGCTCGTCTCGCAGGTCTTAAGGCTACCGGCGATATTTCTTCGCAGTTTTCCCACGCTGTCCAAGTACTCTGTTTGCAGACGCTGCTCCACGCTTTGGGCCAGCTCCCGATCCTCGGCGCGCTCCGCCTCCTGCTTCTCGATCTCCGTGAGGTACTGCTTGGCCAGCCGCAGACGCTTGTCCTGGGCAGTTTCCTCCTCGCCCTCGTCGGAGGAAAATGCCAGCGTGTTTGCCTCACCCTGATCGCTATCGAACTCCTCATCCTCGCTGGCAATTTCCTCCTCTTCCTCCTTGGGTCGTCGCTGTTTCTTTGGTAAGGGTCCAGCGGCGGCTGTTTGTCCCGGTTTCCCACCTTTTCTAAGGGGTTTTCCCTTTGTTGTTGTTGCTGCCGCCGCTGTGGGATTCTTTGGAAAGCGTTACAGGTGAGAGGTGAGACTTGATATTCCGTGTTTGGGCTTACCTTGCGCTTCTTGGTGCCTTTGGCACCTGGCTTGAGGAAAAAAGAAGACGACATCCTAGAAACTAACCAGTTCTTTAGATTTAATTCAATATTTTTAACACAAAACTTATTTTAAATGCTGGAACGAGCCCACGTGCATATTATGAAGCGTCAGGAGTTTTTTAGTGTGTTTTAGAAAAACAGCTGTTTATTAAACGCGCCTGAAAGAGAGGCGGCAACCCTAAACTGGGCGGCAAGTTGGTTCATGTTTAACCTGAAAATTAAATATCTATTTTTTAGTTTTAAGTTAATTTAAAACTATTTGTTTGGTTTGAAATTAAAATAAAATTAAATTAAAAAAATAAATGCACAAGCTTTTTATACAGTTTTATATGGCTTATAATTAGCTTGTTTAAAAGGAATTCCAATAAATTCTTCCTAAAAACTAAACTAAAACTAACAAAACTAAAATAAAATTCAAAAATAAATACACAGACTTCTTATGTAGTTTCATTTTAAACTAAATTTGCTTATAATGCGCTTCTTTAAAAGAAATTCTAATAAATTCTATCTAAATTATCTCTTTTTTTAGACTTAATAAAATAAATAATTTAATATTATCAAAAACCTCTCCATTATCCCATTAAATAAACCAATTTGAATTTTGCTTGAATATATTTATTAATTATATTTTCAGTAAGTATTTCGGTTATAAGTCAACTAATAAGCTAAAAAATCATAAATTGCATAAACATAATGGTTATTTAATTCATTTTTCGCTTTTATTTTTCTCTTTCTTCAAATCAGCATTAAAAATTCGCATAATTACAATACAATGTTGATGTTTAGTTGTAGGAAAATAAAATCTGATTCGTTTTTGTTGTTTATAAAATTATCACAAATTATGTATACTCTGTTTTATTCTGTATCTTTTTTGTTTTTATTAAAATTTTTAAATAAATAGGTTTTTATGCGGTGTAAGCTCCCCGGATGTGGTGGAGCTCTTTTGGGTATCTACAGAGCAAGGGGCGACTGCTGGTGCCGCTGCTGCCCCCTCGCCTAGCTAGCTATTATTAAAACTAAGTAACGTGTAAAAAGAATCGCATTAAAAAAATTGAATATAAATAGGAATATATCGCTTGTGGGGGGCGATCGCTTTACATGATCGAGCACAGACCGGAGGTTTCGACACCGTTCTGCACCTTCTTCGTCCGCTTGAGCGTCACGTTCTGCAGCGCCGGCTTCAGCTCGACGACGGGCTCTGGCTCCGGCTCCACGGCAGCTGGTGCCGGAGGAGGTGTTGCCGATTTCTGGCCAGCTACCTCTGTTAGAGCTTGCGTGGCAGTGTTGCTTCGGCCGCTGCTTCCGTTATTGCTGCTGCTGCCGGCGGCGCCGTAACTACTGCCTATCACTGAGATCGAGCTGACCATGGCCGGGGTGCTGGTGGCTATCTTGGGCACAAACGTGTTGCCGCCGCAGAGCACTGGAATGGTGGAAATTGTTTGAATAGCGTTCACCTGCTGTGCGGTTTCTCCGGCTCCTGATGCTCCGACAGCTCCTGATGATGCTCCTCCAATAACGCTGATGGCCGAACCCTGCGAGTCCGCCGCCGTCGATGATGATGATGATGATGATGTTGCGGCGGTGGAGGCACTATTATGACTATTACTACTTGTATTCTTAGTGATATTTATCTTTATTTTATTAACTATGCTAGCCAAAGGTAACGCCGGACCCGCTGAGCTCAGGTTATGCGTGGACTCCTGCGGCTCTCCGTTCAGTTCCGTTTCCGTGGTCACCGAGGTGTCCGCCGCCGCCGGCTCTAGGTCTAGGTCCGCCTCGTTGGCGGGCAGCGAGAGCGACGTAACGGAGGCGGGCCGTTCGATGGTTGCCGGCGAGGCCGAGGAACCGATGGTATGTGTTTGGGTTTCTGCCAAGACGATGATGAAGCCACATATTGGAGCAACTTGATCATTTACTGGGGAAGGATTATCAAAACAATAAACACTTACCGCTGCTGTGGATGGAGATCTCGTCCTCGGGCAGGGGCAGTAGTGTCACCACAGTGCCCACGTCCTCAAAGCCATCATCCTCGTCGTCCTCATACTCATCCTTGGGCTCCTCCTTGATCTTGACATTGAGCATAGCCGCCTTGGTGGCCTCGTCCATCTCCTTCTCCACATACGTGTCCAGATCGGTAAAGGGAATGTTTGGCTCTTGGATCTCCACATCCGACTCGTTGGCCGACTCGCTGTGGGTCTGTGGCTGGCCCGGCTCAGCGGCCTTCTCCTTGGTCTCGGAATTGGACTCGGGTTTGTCCTGGGAGGACTCATTACCCATTTCCGCCCGGGTCACCTTGCCGGGAACATATTCGTCCTCGTCATCATCGTCGTCGACAATCTCCGTGACGCTGGGCTCTTCGTTGGGCAGCACAATGACATCATCATCATCATCGTCCATAATGGTCTGCGAGGCTTTGGGAACATCTGCAGAGAGGAGAGAAATCTTAATTACATTTCCTCCTCCTTTTTCTAACTTTCAACTCACCGTCTTCATCATCATTGACCTCCAGTTTGATCAGCGTATCCATGGCATTGTCATCGCTGTTCTTCATGTCCACATCGTTATCGGTTTTCACCTCCTCGGCGGGGGGATTCAGCGAAGCCTTGTAGTCCTCGTAGCACAGCGGATGGTAGATCTTATCTTCCACACGGATAGCACTACGAAGATGCCACTCCTCCAACTCCTCGTTGTAGAACTGCTCGAACTTCTCGTGGCACATGTCGCAGCAGCGATCCACATCATCCGTTCCGGCCGCACACGTGGGCACAGGCGAGTCCAACGACCGTTGTTGGGAGAGTTCGTCGAGGGCCTCGGGTCCACCCGGTTGTCCCTGCGCCTCCATAAAGTTCTTTTCGCGCTCCTCCACATCCTCAATCTCCTCGTATTGCCGCCAGTCGTTGAGATCGTAAAACCAGCGACGGGATGTGGCCTTTCTGGTCGAGTCCCGGTCCCTACGGTTCTGCCGGAAATGCCAGTCCAAATGCTGACTGTACTTGATGGTCTGCTCGGGCGGGAAGCGCACGCCGCAGCTGCTGCACTGCATCCCAATGTAGAGAGTGGCCACCACCGCGGCTTGGCGGGTCTTGATGGTTTCTGGCTTGCGGAGATCGATGCGCTTGATGGGCTCCATGGGGGGACCAGCAGGTACGGGAGCAGCAGCAGCAGCAGAAGGAGCAGAAGCTGTTGTGGTCTCTGCAGAAGCTTCCTTGCCCCCTGAAGACTCCTTAGTGGCAGGTGCCGCTGCCACAGGAGCTGCTCCACCGATAATTCCAGACGAAACCAGCTTTTGGAAGAGATCGTTGATGTTCAGGCTGCCCAAGGCGGCGGCCGCAGCTGGCAACGAGAGAGCAGGAGCAGGGGCTGCTGCCACAGGTTGTGGCTCCACCACAGGTGGAGGCTTTACAATCACCGGCGGTGGCTGGGGTGGCTCTGCCGGGGCTTCAGTCTTAATGTACACCATATCCGCCACATGTGTCTTGCCGGCCACCACGCCCTTGGGCAGGGTTCCGAAACGTATGAAGCAGCTGCGACCCCCATTGAGCATCATGCTCTTGGGCAATCCTCCGTACTCGATCTTCTGCAGCTGCCCGTCCACCAGGGCATACTGGAAGCTGTCCACGAACTGCAGCGAATGCTGCTCGGCGCCCAGCTGAAAGGTCTGCTGACGGGCGTCCAAGAAAAGGGGCACAATCGTATGGGCATCCACAATCATGTTGATCTTGCCCACCACCAGATCCCGGCGCACTCGTCCAATGTCCACATTGGGCGGAGGACCCTCGGCCTTGAGAACGTGCAGCTTGTTACCTATCGGCAGGGAGACGGCCGGACCACCAAAGTAAATCTCGTACCAGTGATCGTCGATGTAGAGCTCGCGGGAGGGAAAACCGAAGCGGATGCGATGCAGCTGTCCATCCAGCTGGAAGGGCTTGTAGTCGTCGTTGAAGCTCAGAGGCAGTGGCTCGTTGTGGTCGATGAAAATCACCCGCTGGCCATGCTGGAAGCCAATTTCGTGGGGCTCGTCGCCGGCCATGAAGATGATGGCCACCTGGTTGTAGAAACGAATCTCCTTGGAACCGCCATCGATGGTGATGCTGCGCACCACGTCCGTCATGGGATTGTCCAGGGAATTGATGGCCTTGGTTAGGGTAACGGGCGGCACGGGTGGCAGTCCCATCATCGAGGGGGGTTGAGGTGGCGGCGGAACTATGGACTGTGGCATAACCATGGCCGGAGGAGGCTGCTGCCAGGGCATGCCACGGAAATTGGGTTGGTTGGGGATGGGCATCTGCATGCCACCACCCATTCCTCCTCCGCCTCCACCTCGCTTGTTGTTATTATTGGCCATTTGCCAGGCAGTCCGTTGAGCAGCACCAGGATCCACCTGGTCGCCCCACTTGCTGGGCTTTCGTCGCTTGAGATCCCTCTTGGCCTTGTCCCTCTTGTTTGGCGGCTTCTCCGGAACCGGCGGCTGCTCATCGTACCTGGGCGAGCCATCGCTGCGCGGCGAGCTCGACGCTTGATTCTCATTGCCCTTAAGCTTGGGTATGCGTTTGCGTAGAACTGCATCCCGGGCCGCATTGCGATCCAAGTCGAGATCATCATCACGGCGTCGGTCGGACTTGTTCTTGCTGCTCTCGTTGATGGCCACCACTTTCTGGACTAGATCCTTGTACTGCTCCTGATTCATGTTGTGATTCTCGTACATCTCTTGGGCCTGGCTGAGAATCGTACGCATCTTCTCGTCGTGCGCCTCCTGGGAATCGTCGTTGGCCTTGAGCTCAGCCAACTGCTTGATGCGCTGGGCCACGCCCTGATCCTTGATCTTGTTGTCTGCCGGGGGGATTCAAGGAAATTCCAGGCTCTAGTCCGAAAATCTACAAATCTTTTGAAAGAGTCTACTTACCCGACTTGCCGTGCTTGGTTTGCTGGCGCGCTGACTTGGCCAACTTGGCACGCAGCTCCTCCAGCGTGGGCTTCTTAGGCTGTGAACTAGACTTGGAAGTGGCCTGAACACAAAAAGGAGACATTAAATGGGTATAAAAAGTTCTTTATTCAAATAAACTTACCTCGCTCACATCGCAATCATCCATGGAGTCGTCTTCCACCACAATGACTCCTGGCTTCACGGCCGGATTCTCGCGGCGCAGGTCCACATCCTCGCTGCCAAAGAGACTGGGGAGGCAGGAATATTAGTATAAAAGGATTTAAGGTAAAAGAACCCGCTTCTTACGCATCCAGTTTGGCCGATTTGCTTCTCTTCTGGGCCTGCGACAGCATCTCCTCCTCATCAGCCTCCAGGGGCACAGGATCGGCAGGTCGCTTCTGTCCACTGGCATTGGGTGCGACCTGGACTTGCAGCAGCTTGTTGATGGACTGCTGCAGGGCCTCGGATACATTACCCTGGTTGGACGACAATGCTGCTGGGACAACAGGTGGTGATGATGATGAGGTGGCTGTGGCTGCTGAGGTCGTTGGGTTTAGCAGTGATGCTGCTGTTGATAGATTCGCTGTAGATTTTTCTAATTTATTAAACTGTTTTTGTATTTTGAACGACACTTTTGCGGGCAATTTAGAAGTGGACGAGGACGTGGACGAAGATGAAGATGAAGACGAAGACGCGGAGGCGTTACTAGCTAGTATTGTTGTGCTGCTGCTGCTGCTGCCGCTGCTGGTGGCCTTCGTGTCGAGACTTTTGGTTGCCTCGAAGCTTGGCGGCGGCGGCGTCTTTGGCCGCTGCCTCAAGTCAGTGTCCAAAGACGATACGTCTATAATCGGCGGACTTGGAGGCGCTGGAGGAGGAGTAGGGCCTGGTTCAAGTATTTGAAATGTAGCTAGAAAATTGATTTTGCTTTGGTTTTGGGGGGGCACACATTGTTCAAAGGAGGAAAAGAAAACTGAACTGAAGGGAAATTTAGGTAAGAAAATAGGGCAAAATCATAATAAAATCATAAGAGGGGGGATTGGACACAATAAGGCCAACAAAACACCAGGCACAACAACAATCAGGCTAGAGAGAAACTAATTATAAATAAACCAGAAATCCGTGTTGGAAATTATAATAAAATAAATACAAGTCAAGGGATAATCAATAAATAAATGAAGGATAAAAGTGCCGTTCTACAAAATACAAATTAATATTATAACATTTACTTATACCAACACTACAACGAATGCTCTTAAATCAAAAGCGTAATCATTAAGCTTTGCCCAATGTTTAGTTCGAGTTTACAATTAGCCTCGTTTACACGGGTTTTGTTCGGTTAACAACAAATTAAAACAGTCTGCAGTCTTTATTTTATTTGAGTTTATCTTTCCATCTAATCAATCATCAAATTTATCAATAGTCTGTTGTTGTACAGGAAATATTCTTGACATGGTTTGGGTGTGGGTTTAAATTTAGTTTTGTTGGCGGCACCTGGCTTTGTATTTTGCATTAATTAAAACAACTTGGAATGCAAAAGGGTTTCAAACACATTTTTTATTTACACTTTTCGTTTAGGATTGTTTAAACTTTTTTTTTTTGTTTTTCTTTTAGTTTATGAATTCATTAAAGCAGGCTTAAGTATTTATCAGAAATATGGCATAAGTTAGTTAATTATAGATTGATTTGTTGCCTAAAATAGATACAAAAATTCCCACAGCCAGAAAACAACGAAGGATGCTTAATATTCCAGGAGATGGTTGAATCTTTCAAAAGGAGATTTTATGAAGATATTTCTTCTTTAAAAAAAAACAAGAGATTTAAGAAATATAACAGAAGATTCGTAAAATCCAGCGGTAAACAAGCAAATTTTACGGAGAATCATTGCCAAAAATCACAATATATACCCATATCCATGCCCCTGCAGTACCAGTCATCAGCAATTCATCTGTAATTCATCAACATACAGGTCGGTATTGTCCATCAACAATTAAGGCAAAAAAAAAGTGCGTTTGTTTTTGTTACTGATGAAATTAACATGGGCACATCCTAAGGCTGTCATCAACAATTCATTACTTTTGCATCAACAATTTATAAACAATCACTTTTTATCAACTGTTCATCAACTATTAATATTTTTTCAACAATATTTCATCAACTTTTTCTTTTTTTTTAATAGTTCCTCTCCTGAAAGCGTGAGAATGTCGGTTTTGAAACGATAGTCGAATGAGAGCATAGGCTCTGTATAATGATGACAATGGCCTACTGATGAGATGTGATACTCCAGGATGGGTACACATGGCATCACAGTTTGTTGTTATATCACAGACATCGAGGACGACTTCCTTTGACAACTCTCAACCGGTAACGATCCCAAGAACCCGCCCCTTTTCCACCTGCCTAAGCCATCGAGTGCCGCCAATTTGTTTAGTTATTTCTGCATTTTCAACTACGCTGTTATCGTATGTAGTAGGGCTACGTTCCAAGTCGAAGGAGACGACGACTTGGTTGCTGACTAACAAGTGTGAAATTAGAATTAAAAATTGTTTCTTACGTTTCTCTAAATCATTTGGTGCTTTTGCTGCAGCTGCTGCTGACGATGACGAGGTTGATGTGGCCACCTGAGGTAGTGAGACGGGTGCCGCTGCCTTTGGCTGTGGTGACTTGCTGCGACGCAGATCCACGTCCATGTACACCGGAGATCGACTACGGGATCGTCCGGTTGATGATGACTTTCCCCTCGACGAAGACGCGGAGGAGGTCTTTTGTGATGTATTCCTCTTGGACTTGGAGGGCGAAGCGCTCGGCGAGGAGCTCTTGCGCTTTGTGGGCGATCCATTGCGAGCATAGTGATCCGAGTGATCCTTGGAGGAGCTCTTCCCGGAACGCTTTACCGGCGACTGGGCCGAGTTGCTGCCGTTTTTATGCCGCACATCGGTGCCTGACGAGGATGATGAGGCCGTGGAGCTCTTGGACTCGCTTCGCTTGCGGTTTGATGAGCTACTAGTATGGTTGCTCTTTCCGGAGCGACTGCTGCTGCTGCTGTTGCGCACAGGTGACTTGCTGCGCGAACGACTAGATTTCTGTGAGGTCGATGAAGTTGACTTGGCCTCCAGACGGGGATCGGTGCGAACGGGTGCGACCGACTGCGACGAGGATTGTGACTGCATCTGACGCGCCAATCGTGGATCTCGGTGGCGCACAGAATTGAGCAAGGCGGGATTGACTGGATTTACCTTTGGCTTGGCCGCAAATTGCTGGGGAAGAGGAATATAAAATATTAATTAAACTATATCAAAGATCTAGCAATAAATTTCCGACTTACCTGCGGCGCAACTGGCATGTTGGGCATCATGCCCATCGGTGGCGGCGGCCTTTGGTGACGCATGGCAGCACCCACTGCGGCGGGATCCATTATGGGCGGGCGTATGGCCGATGTGCCTGGGCCTGGCATGACCATAGGAGCCATGGCATCATTAAGCTGACGTTCCTGCTCTTCTAAATGCTTTTTGGTCTGCTCCAGCTCAAGCTCTAGTTTACGCTTCTTGAGCTCCAGCAGCTCCCGAGTCTTGGCCTGCAGAATCTCCTCCATGTCGCTGGGCAGTGTGGGGTTAACAGGCATCACAGGTACCATGCCCTGGCAAGACAATTCGATTAGTTTAAAATTATTTTTTAAAAATTGTAAAAGCTGCTTACTGTCTTCAAAAAGTCTGGATTAACGTGTATGGCTGGATTGACATGGATCTTGTTGGCTGCCGGCTGCTTGGCGGTGATGGGCCAGTTATTATCCAGACGCTTGACCTTCATGTCCAAGGCGTACATCTTGGATTGGGGGAATACCTCGTTCCAGGTCTGTCGCAAAGCATACATGCGCTCGCGCACCTTCTCCAGGACCTGTGACTGCGAGTTTTGCACCTGCAATTGGAAAACTTATAAGCTTCTTGGCATACATAAGGCTGTAATGGTGACTTACCGATTCAAAGGCGTTGAGGAATATGTTGACTATGCATTGTCCAAACAACTGGACGTAGCTGCTTTTCACATTCTTTATTATCGAATCAATTAAATATAGTATGGGCAATTTAAACTCGGGCGCCACCTGTTTAGAGTTTGGTAAAATAGGTGAGAAAAGAAAACAATAAGTGTCTAGTGGGGGCGTCGCTAGCGGAGATCGCGATTCGAACAGAGAGAGAGAGAGAGGGGCAGAGAACTAGCGAGGACGACTAACAAGACACATCAGCACGGCCAGCATCCATCCAGCGACATCATGGAACCAGGTCATCAAAGGCAGCAGCTGCTGGGCCAACTATATTTTTGCTTAATTCCAAGTTAAAGCGACCTAATCTCCACGAAAAAGAGGTCCTAACGCAGGGAACTATACATATCTGAGGCGGTGTAGTGTTCGGAGTATAAAGTTAGCTTTGAGTTTAACCCTTTTCGAGCGAAATAAGCCTTGAAATTTGATAATAAAGGTAGTTTTAATTGGATATATGTTACCAAAACTTGCGTTTATCTTCTTTTCTTTTTGGCAATACAAAAATTGCTGCACATCACTTTCTCGCGAACGATGATGGTAAGCAGTCAATGTTTTTTGTATAAAATAAAAGACAACTTGGTGACAATTGTTTAAGTATTTTCTCTTTTTATTTCGTTTTTCAGTTTTTCTTGTTTTTGGTTTAATTTTAATCTTTTTCGGTTTTTTTTCGTTGTTTTTGTTTAGCTTTAAACTCTGGTAACCAAAGTAGAAAGAAATAAGAACGAAGGAGCAGTCTTACCTTTGTAGAGGATTTAAAATCATTGATAGTTCCGGCTTAAAACCCAAATTATGTGATAAATATTAAGATATAGAACCTAACTAGCTTTAAAGGAGATTTATGGGGGAAGGTTAAGTTGCCAAGGAACTCCAACGAGGGCTATTAAATAGAATAATTGTTAAAATAACAAAGGAAATATTAAATATTAAAACCTGATATAGTTATGAATAAAATCGATAGAATTTTAAATAATTCCACAGAAAAAAAAACAAGGGCTAAAAATCATTAAATATTATTAATTAAAAACTAAGAAAATATTACTGCCTTTCGTTGGAATTCCCTGCAAAATAAAACAGCATCCGTGAACCACACTTTTTAGCACAATTGCGACAAGAACTCGACCCTCATGGTGTCGTCGCTGGAAGGATACCTTCTGTTCACTGAGCGTGTGTGTGTGTGTGTTGGGTGTCTTGGTGTCTCTAAAAAATTACGCTTGTTTTTTTTGTTAACCTGGCTGATGTAGTACTCCACCACGCGGACTATGACGGGGGCATAGCTGATGTTCTCCTCGGCGAGCATCGTGAGCATATTGATGAGCGGCTTGCTGTTGCAGTTCAGATCCTGCAAACTGGACAGATACTCCTCACCGATCCGCCGCTCATCCTCGCGGTAGTTCTGAAATAGCTGCTCCATTCTGGCGGCCAGACTAGGCTTGGCAGCTCCTTGATCCTTGAAGTTGATCAAGTTTTTAGGCTATCAACTCAATATGCAGTTGCTAGTTTTCGCTGCAAAAGGGAGAAACAAATAACTCGTCAGATTTGACACAAGCACGAATACTATTTGTAATTAGAATACTAAACATTAAACTAAATTCTTACGATTATTAAATGCCAAACATATGTAAACAATCACGCGCGTCCACAAACAACAAGCCGACGCACAACACGCACACATACATATGTATGTATGTAAGTAGCGAAAATTCAATATGGCGGCCGTGAGACATGTATTTTTTGCACGCCTAGTGGCCTCGCCATTAATAACCAAAATTCTTTATATTTTTCGAGTAAGGGGCCTGTGTTTTGTAGGAAAACTCAAAAGAAAACATTGGTGGATGGCCTTGTCTGGTTTTCTCGGATGATTTAATCGGTTTTCCCCAGACAAAGCCACGTTTATGTTACCAACACACATGCACACACGTTTTTTTCATAGCCACTTTAAAACACACTTTTACGCCGCAAACACTTTTATAAACATACCTTTTTATGCTAATACATTTGTACAATCACTGCAAGACACTTTCCTGAGGTGAAAATTTCAAGAAAACACTTGGAAACTATGTAATTATACGTTTGAAAACTCTCACGTAACAACTGACTGTTTTTGATGAGTGTGTACTTCGAACAGTGTTGTCAGACAGCAAAGTCAGAACGTACTACAATTTCACACATGGTGAAATACCAAACAGAAAAATACTGAACTCGGTAAATTAATTTTAAAAAGGGTGAATTCTTTAAAGTTATTTGCCTTTGCTTGTAATTTAATTATTTTATTTTATTTTAATTATAACTAAATAAATTGCATTCCGTTTTAAAACAAATGTACCGAAATAGTATGGTCTGTTAGTATTTTTTCAAACTAACTTCGTGCATGGTATATTTCTCCATTCCCGCCACGGTCACATTGTTACAATTTTAGCAATAAACAAACGAAACGCAAATGCTGGCTAAACTGGAATTTTAATTGAACTAATAGGTCACGGATCAGAAAGGACGCACACGGGACGATTGGGCAAGTGCCAAGATGTTGGGCAAGTGCTGCATGGGGGCGCTTTGGCCCCTGGCGATGCTGGTCGCCTTTTCCACTGCCTACAAAAATGGTGAGTGTTTTCAGAGGGGTGGTCTAGGAATTCCCCAATTCTTATTATTCACTCCCTCGTTCCAGTTCGCCTGCAGGACAGCATGTGCTCGGACAAGCTCTTTTACACACTGTCCAAGCCGTTCAGGGGCGACCCCACAGTGCGGCTGGAGTTCGACGACGACTCCGGGGCGATCATAACGCAGGCGTGGAACCTGACACTGCCCCACGGACATGCGGCCAACAAGATCAAGTACGACTGCCAGTTCCGTGTGCTGACCAACGAGCGGCCGCCGCGCGGCATTTACACCATTATTACGCGGCTCAAGTTCCGGCGCGATCCCGTGTCGAAGCAGTGCATCGACTACATCCAGTTTAGCAGCGGCAATCGCTCGCCCAGCGAGCGCATCTGCACGGACATCGCCATCGATGGGCCGGCCGGGCGGCTGATCTTCGATCAGCGCGATCGCGAGGTCAACGTTCACATCTTCATTGATCGATCGCGGCACATCCTGGGCGATCCGCTTGAGCTGCGGATGGTGCTGACCGCCCACTCCGAGTGCCAGTTCAACGGCGACTTCCTGTGCGATCCCAAGGATCCCTACTCGTGCATCTCGCGTCACTTTGTGCGGGACAACATCACCAACTGCCTGTACCCGTGCCGTGACGAGGGCACCTGCTTCCATGACGCCATCGTGGCGGAGGAGATAGACACGGCCAATGTGGCTATCTCGGCGCTGACGTCGCTCATCTTCACCATGCTGGGCGTGGGCTTTTGCGTGTGGATCTGCTGGAAGTACTGGAACTGCATTACGGTGCAGCAGCGGGCGCATGAGGCTTCCGCCGCCCGCTTCAACCAGCGCCGGGCCAGGGTGAGTATAGATCTGATAACTATCTAAACTTACAAACTAATTTCTACCCTCGCTCGCAGTCGGATGTGCCTACCATAGAGCTGCCAACGGCCGCTCAGTACGATGATGGCGTGCTGCACGAGCACGATCTCCAGCAGCAGCAGCAACCAGCGACGCCCAAGGATCTGCCGCCCAGCTACGAGTCACTGTTCCCGGACAGATAAGGATCCGTGGCTCCGGCTTTGATTCCGCTTTGTGCCAGATCAGCAAGTCCTTGGCATCGCACACTTGTTGTATTAGTCCTATTAGGTAATTGTATCTCTATATCTGAACAGATCAGCATTCCGTGTAAATATGTTAGGACTGATTTATTGTTTTGTGATTAGCGTTAGCGATCGATCCAGAGGCACCTTTGTCAATGTGTTCACTTGGAACCGAAACCCCAAAGTACATTGTATATATTTAAGTCTTACATTCCGCAACAGTTCGTATTGTCTCAGTATCTATGAGCATCTCTCCAAGAATACTCCCTTGAGAATCTCTACACAGGTTTACAGTTTTACTATTGTATATATTTAAGTTTTATGTTCCGTCACACACTTAGCAACTGTATTTGTAACTGTTGAAGCCGCCTTTTGGCGAAGCAAATTGTTTAATCACTGATGAAATCTCACTGATATTACCGAAACTCTATGGAAATTATATCAATTATTTACCTAAGCAACAATTATTTATAAGCCACAATGTACTCGTCTCTGTATTAGCTAGCATAAATATTCCAAGGGTCAGTAATGACGTCGCAAAGGCCAGCATTCCACATAGTTGTACCTGTTTCTGTCTACTGCATAGATGTATGTATGTTACGTATTTGTACGCCTAGAGCAAAAAAAAAAAAAAAACACGCGCTTGTAGATGTCCTTGTTGTGTGCCGGCCGAAAGTGTCAATTGTTTAACCCATAATGAGATTGTAATAACTAGGCGCACGCGCTCGCGAGATTATGTATATGTACGAACTACAGTATTTACCCCAAAATATGCAACTGAAAGCGGGCACGATTGTGGCCAGTGTAGGTCTTAAGCCAATTAACTCATATGTATACACACGCAACTCACTCAAATACGTATTATAAACTGATAAATAAACCAACTAAATCCCAAGCCGAGCGTGTCCAAAGTGCGGGAGGGAATCACCATGCCCCGGCACCCTCCGCTGATCATCATCATCATCCCCTCCCTGGGTGGGTGCTTGGGGTTTGGGGCTTTCATCACATGGTGACACACTTCGTGAATCAGCACGTGCCTTATCCGAAAAGCGAAAACCTGTCGAGCTGGCAAGCTTTGGTTTCATCTCACCACAAATCGACGCTTTGGTCACGACTAGGTGGCCACTGTCAGTGCGTCATCCGTGGCCTAATCAATTTCTTTCCCGGCTTACGTCATTAACTGAGAGAGCTTCCTCCTTCCCTCCTTCGCATAGATGATTGCTGTACGCAGAGCGGCACGTGTTGGGGTCACCTGGTACGTTGACTCTAGGCAATTGACCAAACTGGTTATTGCCATCGGGTATCTCTGCGAGACAATTTGCCGGCCAATCCGTGCCCCCGTTCAATGTCGGCCCACCGCAATTGTCCAATTGCCTTGGTTGGAGTCGCAGTTAGCGAATCAATTAGCGAATGTGCGAGTGCGGCGGCCCTCTTGGCAACCGGTAGCGCAGATCTACGGATTCGCAGATCTCTGGGTATATATGTATATAACGCCCAGGTGCCAATTTTAACACGCACACAAAAGAGCCAACGCCAGACAATGCTCTATCCATCAAGTTCAGGGTCACAAGCATCAAATGGCCAATCGCCGATCACTCCGCCGCTAATAATCAACACTCGGCCTTAATTAGAGTCAAACACCCCCTGATAAGAGAAGTCTTTGGTTTTAGTCTAGGTGTACTTGCTGGCCAAAACAATCCATCATTTCGTAGGGGAAAACACCTGGGTATCCTAGAAATTTCACTCGATCTTCGTCTGACACCTAGATGTTGTCAAATCGCGAAATTCGTGCTGCGAATTAGCACCCGCGTGTGGGGCGTGTAGGTGTGAGTTCGACCGAACGATCACGCCCAAAAATAAACCCTAAGCAGAACGACTTTTCTGAGACACTTTTGCAGAAGAGGAGCTGCCTCCGAAAGTTGTTTTTAAAGCAAACAATAACGGTAACCAAGGATCTGAGCTTGGGTATATGGTGGGGTTTATGTTTAGACCGATATGTGTGAGATATATATATAAAATCAAAGTGAGAATGTTTGTAATTTCAAGAAGATACATAAAATCACATCATCCACTGCGCAAAAGAGGTCGTAAATTCTATAATCATATCAAAATTTGTCTTATCTTTAAAGTATTACGCAGACATTATCAATAAGATACCGTTACCATCTCAAAATTTTATGGTTTATGTAATATTGAATCATCTAGAAGCCTATTTTTTGATTATTTTTCTGAGGAGTATCTAATATTTATTTTATAAAAATAGTTGATATTTTGTGAGATCTTATAATATTATTTGTGGTTCTTTTATTTTGACTATTTCTGATAGCTCATAAACAGGTTTTGGATTTTTTTTTATGTGCGCTAATATTTCATAATAATATTTGCTTGAGTTATCTGCCTCTAAAAATGGAACTTTATATTGTATCCTATATTCTGGGTGTGTGTAAGGTAACCACAAAAACCGCAGGTTGAGAACCAAACCCACTTCCAATCATTAATCGAAATCTCCGTTGGCGACATTTGCACCTCTGTCTCCACATAGCCATTGTTTGATGTTTTGGCCAGCAATTAGATACGGCGCTCTAACCAATCTCAAGCCAACAACCAACTGTAGGAATTACTTTCTCGCCCAGCGTTCGGTTGTGCGAGATCGCGTGACTCATACGCAGTGGTGGCCACACAAAGAAACTACACTCGGCAACAACCAGCAAGCAGCTAACCAGCAAGAGCAGCTCCGGCTCCGGCTAAAAGTTGTGGGCAAATCAAGCCGCTCGCTCAGTCTGCGATACACAGTCGACGCTGAAAGATCGATTCGGCGGACAGTCCGCATCCAAGTCCAAGCCCAAACCATTTCCATATTCAATATATACCCCGCAACGAGTCAGTCGCCCGGTGAAATTCTCAGTGCAGTGAACGATTTATGGAAATATATTGATTGCAATTCAAGCAGACAAGTGTGTGAATTAAAAGCAAATAACAAACAACAGTCGATGCTACCTGAACGTACACCCCAAACACCTATTGCCATGGAATACAGACAGACAATGCTGCTAATTATGATAGGTGAGTCTCCGAGCCGACAGTCAGGCCTTCTCTGGATATAATGTGCATCAAGTCATATATATAATATAAACACAATAAGCACGCTTCGGTATATGTTAATTATGTGAACGTTTGCTTCGCCAAGCCCTTGTTGATTGGTCTTCATTATGCCATGAATAAACATCATCAGCGCAATTCATTGAATGAGATTTACTAAAGAACTTATAGTATATAAATACCAGGAAAAATAACAAAACTTTGATTGTTAAAATATTCACTGGAATAATTCATATTTAAATTAAAATCTGTGGGATTATCAATCATTTCAAACTGGAAGTTTTCTATTTAATGGATTTAAAAGTCTGAAAAACAACTCTGATATATCCTATATAGCCTAGAAGCCCCCTGACAATACTTATCAGTTCCAATCTGAATACCTATAATAACCTTAAATGTTTGTTTGAGGAACCTCAAGACGTCAAGACCATATCATCATCATCTTGGGCCTTCATCTCAGCCATCGTAAACCAGTTAATGATGTCTTTACGAGGCCCGTCATCTGCTAATCCCCAGAGTAGATAAGATCTCCTTACCGGCAGCCCATGTGATCACGTTATAAATATCATCCAAGCGAATCAAAGTCAAAGCCCCTGGTCGTCGTCGTTCGGGTGACATTTCAGGGGGCCTGCGACTGGCTATTTTGCCATTTTCCCGCAATTTATGGAAACTGGTTTATACTCAAGTAGTGTATGGCTAATGAATAATGACGCGATTAAATGGGGGCGCTCTACTCCCTACGACTTACGGATAATGGCTGTAAATCACGGAAATTCCCAGAATTCGGCTTTCTCAGCCGGTTCAAGGCGAATGGAGTTCGTTTATCTGTAACTTCAATATATAACAAGAAAGGAAGCTAACTTCGGCACGCCGAAGTTTGTATACCCTTGCAGATTGGTTTCGATGTTTATATTATAGATTTAAATGCTGAAAACACTCACAAAACAGAGTTTCATTACATTTTACCTATACTTATTATGTTTACAGTTTGACAGTTACAGTTTTACATTCCCAGCTTTACATATTTTATACATTTACCGATCGCTTCTATGGCAGCTATATGATAAATTTGTCCGATTTTTATGAAATTTATACCATAATTCTAGAACAATAAAAAAAGCTTATATCTCAGAGTAGATAAACATACGTTGAAAAACAACGAAACTATAATTTTTTTCCTATTTATTTCTCGACCGTTCCTATGGCAGCTATATCATATAGTCGTCCGATTTTGATAAAATTTTTACAAATATTCTGAAATAATATAGAATGGCCATATCTAAAAAATGGTGCAAAAATGTTGAGAAACAGCAAAGTTCTAATTTTTTTTCTACAAATATATCGAACATTTGTATGGCAGCTATATGATATAGTCGTCCGATCCGGCCCGTTCCGACATATATAGCAGTGGGAGCATATAGAAGACTATATGCAAAGTTTCATTCAGATAGCTTTAAAACTGAGGGACTAGTTTGCGTAGAAACAGACAGACAGACAGACGGACAGACGGACAGACGGACAGACGGACAGACGGACAGACAGACAGACGGACAGACGGACATGGCTAGATCGACTCGGCTGTTGATGCTGATCAAGAATATATATTCTTTATAGGGTCGGAAACGTCTCCTTCACTGCGTTGCAAACTTCTGACTGAAATTATAATACCCTGCAAGGGTATAATAAATATGTCGAGCACATGGCGGGTACATGACTGCCTATTCCCACTCCCATTTCCACTTGCTCGGTTTGCACAGGTGTCACCGCACCACACACCATTCGCAACGCTGCTGTTCAGCAATAACTGCTGACGTTGACTCCAGCACGTTTTGCCATTAGGAGCTAATTAGAATTTAATTGCTAATATTTTGTTGCTGCCCCGCTTGTGGTTTCGCTGGGTGCTTTCCGCCTTATCAGTTACCAGTTGACACTCTATAAATAACCAAACACCCGCACAAAATTATCCACCGAAAGGTTAACTGTTAACCAACTAACGCTCCTTTAAGAACACACACCCATTATTTATATAGGCTTGGGGTGGTGTTATTTTTAGAAGCCCATATATCAAGTTTCATAAGCTTGCAGATCTAGAACAGGGTCGTCATGATTTTTTTGCTTGTAATTGTATGGCAACATTTTCAGATAAGCCCGAAGATGTCTCCTCCGGGTTTTATCAGCATGGAAAATATTTTGTTTAGACTGACAGAAAGATTCCCTCATGACTTTGTCGCAAGACTCTAGAATGGAAATAATTTGTGATAAAATTAGCACAAATATTCCATTCATCTGACTTGTTTTGCTAGTGGAGTTTCCACCTGACTTTTTAGCTAATCTTGTGCTTAGATGACGCGGGTTTCATTACGGATTTATGATGATAATTAAAAAAGCTTTTAAATTAGTTTAAAGTCCCTTTTGATTACCCCCGACTTACTATATTATTCACCAGACTTTCCTATCTGCTAAACTATTATTTTTTTTTTTGACTAGACAGCGGGGCGTATGAGTGATCCATATTCCCAGGCTATAATCAGTTGCGCAACTTTCCCCTGGGACTGCCCAATCAAAAAAAAAAAAAAAGGTTACTGTGGGAATGACCAGCTGTAGCATCCCCTACCTAGGTCAACAATGTTGATTGTGCCTCCCCAAATTTCATCACAATCGTTGTGAAATTGATAGAAGGAGAGACTCAACTCATTGCGACGACAATCAAATAATTATTGACAGGCGACAGGCGGTAAAGATATTTTTGGCCTGAGTAATGATGGGGTGCCGTGTGCCGTTATGGCTCCCGCTCCCAACCGACAATCTATCAATCCATCCAACCATTCCGTGGACGCACCCTTAATGGCGGTATTGTGTTCTGCCGCCAAAGAAGTGTGCAAACAGTTGTCAACACCCATCGCTGGGTCTTTTAATTGAGATAGGGAGGTGGAGACAGAACGCAACTTTTTTATTGCCAGCAGCTTAGCGGGCGTTTATGGTGTTTATGTTTATGTGTTATGTTATTTCCTGGCCACGTCAAAAAATATTTTGCAAGCAGGTGGAAAGATAGAGCTGAAATCAGCTTAGCACCTACCCCACTGGATTTAGATCTGGTGGGATATTCTCCAGTCAAATCAGGGCTATAGATAACCCTCCAAAAATTACAAACACCTCAGACACTGGGTCGTCACTGGGGCGGGTTGCCTCCCCTTATCAAGTCAAGTGGCTAAAGCCGTAAACTTAACCGCCGATTATTAAGTGATCCATTGCTAAGGAGGAACGCCCCGCTGACAGGGGCTATATATAGACACGCTTATCAGTCGGGTTGAGGATGGTGATGATGATGTTGGATGGACTCTCTCCCTTACCTGCAAGAAAATCTAGGCGTTCGCACGCCGCTGAATGGGCGCGATAAGCTATCATCTATCTATCAGTGAGCTCACCACCACTCCGTCTTGCTTTTTCTGATATCGCCACTAATGCCCCTCTTCCGCTCCGCTCCGCTCCTCGCCATGGTCTGCCCTTCGATTCAATTTGATTCGATGCGGTTTGGTTTGGTTCGGCCTGGGCATTCTACTCCATTTCAGTGCTCATCGCCTGCCCGAGCAGTGCACACGGTCAGTCCTATCTGTTCAGCCTGGAGAACGTCCTCAACGAGTCCTCGCGCCAGCTGCCCCGCAACCTTACGTCTGCCAACGGAACCACCGAGGTGGACCTGTTTCCTGAGAACATCGGGAACAATACACGGATTATTGTCTACAAGAACAGTAAGTATTTGTGAGAGAACTGATATAAAAGTCTGGGAAATTTAAATAATAATAGGATGAAGTTGTAAAGGATAAAAAAAGTGAAGTGAAAAGAAGTAGATAACGTGTAATAATAAATAATAATTCATTAATATAAATGAACTTGAGAAGTATTAATTTACAAATATTGAGAGTTAAAAGTCTTACTTAAATCTGAGAGATCTAGATAATCTGTAGGAGCATGAGCAAATTAAATATAAAAGCTATAGTAATAAATATATTTTTGTGCAATAAATTGTTTACTTTATTAACCGACTTCTAAGAGCATCAAAGTAAGCAATCTATAAATCTTTCGTGTAAAAAAAATCCGCGTTATCCCAGAGCAATCTAGAAGAGTTCTGAAGCTATTGTCAACAGCATCGCTATGAGTATCTCGGCTGTACGACAATTCTATAATAGAGAGAGGCAAAATAATACAATTTCGTAAATTATATAGACGATTTTGATTCCATTTATAAGCCAGTAAGGAATATCTTTAAGGTAACAATATTTGTTTTTATTTCTCTTCATCTACTCAAGCCATCAAAGCCCAATTTCCGCTATCTTATCAAGACAAAATAAATAAATTGACATGTTCTTATATTGATAAGCTATCTGACGGCATTTAAATATGCTTTTATTTTTAAAGCCCTTTAAATTTTATTACAAAAATATATATATATTTCTTGCTATCTGCACACAAATCCCTCTTTACTAATGTAAGATCAAAAAGGCTTTACTGCTATTACACGAGTTCGGTTTCATAACACTTGTCCAACCGTCCGTCCACTGGTAATATCTGGAACCCTTGGAACCGACAATCAATCAACACAACAATTTCTATTTAATTGTGGTGCCCACAACTGGGGTTAGCCCCTATCAACTGTACAGTTGGCCATTAGCGTAGGCATTAGCGTAGTTCGATGACGAGACAGTAACGCGAATCGCGTTTCGTCATAAAGTTTATGGCCCAGACACAGAATTCGTGACTACAGGCACAGCCAATCAGCAATCAGCCATCATTTCTGTGATAGGCTGATCCCACAGAAAAAAAGAACTCTTGGGATGAAAAAAAAGAACGTGCTTTTGTTTCTGGTGAAATACTTGGGGTTTTCTATAAAGTTCTAGGGAATATTTTTCTACGAAGATGCTTTATTTTTATTGGGAACTGTTGCTAAGATCAATATTTAATATTTTGGTTTATTTATTCTAATGAAATATAAAGCTCTAGTTTGGAAATGTTACGTTTAGTCTAGGAATCTCTAGATTTTATTAGTCTTAATTGAGACATAAAACTGGTGTAGTCTAGGATGGGCTCTATTATTTCTAATAAATACTAAATAATCTTTATTTTAATCTTAATTTCAGCTGTCGTCGAGTCGTCCAACGACCTATCCCAGACAGCGATGGATGTGATAACAATTGTGTGGTATGTGGCCACCTTCTTGGCCCTCGCCGCCTTCTTCATGCTGATGGCCTGTTCGGATCGCCGGTGCCGTGACATGCGACGCCGTCCCACTGGAGGTCAGTCCACGGAGGGATTAAGGGCACCACCCACACCCTCACCCTCGTACAGTGAATTCGCACCGCCCAGCTATGATACAGTGATCAAAATGCAGCATGCGGCCAAGACAAGCGTGTTCGTGATACCCTTTAATAATAAGGGTATCAGTGAAGTGGAAGCCACGCCAGCGTCTCCACAGCCACCGCCACTATCTGCCAGTCCATTGCCACCTTCCATAACCTGCAATGTGTTCACCGTTAATGAACTGCAGAAGTCGGCCAACTAACCGATAAGCAGCAGGTGAATCGCCGTGAATCCAATCTGTGATATTTGCTGTTTATGGCAATGGGCCAAGTACGAGTATTAGCCGTCTTAAGATCCCCCCACAAAAGACTGACAACGAATGATAAAATGCCAGTTCAACTGAAAATAGATGAATAAGTAATTAAATATAGAAATGTTAAAGAAAGTGACTCACTTGAAATGTTTGTTTTGATTTTCTAAGAACTTGGCTTTCGAATATTTATAGGGCTTACTGGGGGATATTCCAAGTTGAGGGTGAACTTATCTGGCAACGCTGCTAAGCAATAAGCTTTTGCTTGGCCATATCTGATGCCAAAACCGAATTGGAGAAGCTTTTGTAGGGAAAGCTTTGGGGAAAACTTTACTGATAAGCGCCGAGTTGAGTTCAGGGGAATTTTAAGCGTTAAGGGGACTCCCACTTGAGGCCTTTAATCTTTGCTTGGTTAATCTGTGGATCTATGGAGGTGAATTGCGTTCGGAGTGTCAGTTTAATAGTCCCTTTGTTTATCCTGATAATTTAAAGGTTTGTTTAATCACCTCTCAGAAAGGAAGAACATATTAAATAAGCAACAATAAATACAAAATAAATAAAAAAATAAATACAAGAATAAATACTGAGGTAATACAAAAAAAAAACACATACCTCTCCACACCCAATGCCATTTATCGTCTCAGGGTCAGGCATTTACTTAATTCATTGATGGTTTCCATTTAATTTCTTAGCCAGCCGGCACAGTTGTTGTTTAGATCGCATTGAAGGTAACATCTGCTGGCAGTTCCAAACAAAACAAACCAGAATGTACTTTCTGGGGCACAGCCAGCATGCCGCACACGGCGTATGCGTAATATTTCACATATTGTTTATTTTGCAAACATCAAAAATGTTTTCGAAAATTACACAAACAAAACGCCTGAGATGATAAGAGACGCGAGCGGGGGTCTGAAGATCGGGATCGGTGGGCGGGTGTGTGCCAAACCAGATCGGATTGCAGTAAAATCACGTTACGCCCCGCTCAATGCGGTTCATTTGATGCAGAGACCATCTCGTTTTGTTCTTGCTGCTGGCTCTCCTTGTACTGGTTGCTCTTGCCCGCCGCCGATGGTCGCTGATTGGCGCCTTGTTGCCCGAGTTGAACGCTTGATTGTGGGTCCATTCATTAAACGATCTTCACTACACTGCGAGGAATTCATGTTCTGGAAAGATCGATTGTAGAGTTCTATAGTGGATCACTAGAAAAGAAAATAGAGAGGATTTTGAACACGGAAAATGTAGGAAAATGCTGTGTAATTAATATTTTACAATATATTATAGATTTATTTCTCAATTCGTTTAATCTATACGTATATATGTACATATGTATGTAGATAATTAATAACTTAAATAAAAAATTATTAAGGAGAGGGATTATAGATAAATATAAAATAAAATAGAAAAATAAACATAAATAAATAAAAATAAAACAAAATAAAATAAGTAAGTAATAAGGTTTATTTGTCCTGAACAAAATCAAACAAAAAAATATATCAGCAATTTTTTTATTAGCCATTTTTCTCCTGTGCAGGCAAAGCAATCAAAATCATCTGCCCCACATGGTCCATAAATTAATAATCGTTATTTACTCGCTTACGATTTGTTTCGAGTGTAGTAATTTTTCTAAGCTCTCTCACGCTCTTCAATTGAACTGAACTTCCTCTTTCACTTCCTCCTCTTGGCTTTAGCTCTCTCTCTCTCTCTCTCTCCCGCTCTTGCTCTCCAGTTGTGCAAAACCGCATGCTCTCGCCCTCTCTGTCCGCCTCCTGCGATCCCTCTCCGTCTCTGGCGCTATAAGTAAGTATTTTTCGTTGAAAAGCATCTGCAGCGTAATTAGCTGGGATCAGTTGAACGCTAACCGTGCCATCGAGTGGAAGTGGAAGTGGATTATTGACCAGAGAGTGCCGAGACTAGATCACAGTGTGATAGCTACTGAATTGAACTGATTTAAAGAATACTGAGAAATATCAAACTGCAGGAAACTGAATTACTTTTAAGGCACATCACGTATACGCCCTGTCACCCACCTTGAAAATGTCGCTGAGAAAGAGCTTCCTGGGCTGCCTTCTGGTTGTCACCGCATTGATGATGCTTCACCACGTCCATGCCGATGCCGACACGAATGAATTGGATAGCCTAGATACGTACAGTAAGTGATTGATTCTTGTGGAGTTTAATCAGTATCGAAACAATCATCATTTATCCGTTACTCAAACCTCCAGTGCTCCAAGGCGTAACGGTGTATCCCCATGATCGACAGTGTGTCATGGTCGGCGGATTGTGCGTGAAGAGCGAAGACTGCTTGGAGCCCACCACAAAGCGGGGCCTGTGCCCCACCAGTGCCGCCTACGGTGTGGAGTGCTGCTATGAACGTGAGTATATGCCGGCGCCCAGTGTCTGTTGTACCCTGCTTAAAACCCGTAAAAAAAAACCCCATCAGTCCGACCCAAGTCCATGTCGTTCACCTAAGCCTCCACACCCAACCCCTATTATTGGTATACCCAAATCCCTTACTAATCCTGAACCTTGATCCATTATGTTTGTCCCGCCGCCTTCGAAAAAACACCAAACGACAAACGTCATCCCGTTGCTTCTCGTTGCAGTGCCGGTAAGACCAGCGCCCTGTCAACAGCACGGAGGAGTATGCATGAGCTCTTGCAACAAGAGGCTCCTTCGACCCGGTAACGACTGCAAGAATGGCCAAGCCTGCTGTCTCCTGTTAGTGTAATACTTACGCATATGTAGAAGCAAACACACCACACATACACACCCCATGCACAGGAAAAGAAAACATTCATTCAAAACTAAAATGTGACCAAATCACTTTTTTGTCTTGCAAAATTTAATTTATTAATTAATTTTGATCATAAGAAAAGCTAAATAAACATAAATTCAATGGAATGTTCATGGAAATGTTTATGAAATTGTACTTAAACTATGATTGGTTTAAAATAATTTCAGAAGCTGTTTGACTAAGTATCAAATAATATTATATATTTTATTATACGAGTCACACAATAGGGTTTTAACCATAATTTAAACATTGTTTAGGCAAGACTTGTTGAATTATCTTATATATATGTATTTTGTAGATTAATTCAAAACGGCGTTTTGATTTAAAATAAAGGCGTGAACTTTTCCTGAATAAATACAAACAAATAAATATAAAATCTATTTGTTATTACAAGTTGATCTGATAAGCTATATTATTTTACTTTTGTGCAGGCTAAGTAATCAAAATAATAAATTAATAATCTCCATTTACTTGCTAACGATTTGTTTCGAGTGTTGTGAAAAAAGCGCCGCTACTGATTGAGGCGGATGGACCAAGGCGATCGGAGGAGTTGGCCAATTTTCTAAACTCTCTCACGCTCTTTAATTAAACCAAACTTCCTCTAGCACTTCCTCCTCCAAGCACTTTGTATCTCGGTCTTGCTCTCCAGTTGTGCAAATTTGCACGCTTCCCCCTCTCTGTTCGCCTCTTGCGCTCCCTCTCCGTCTCTGGCGCTATAAGTAAGTATTTTTCGTTGAAAAGCATCTGCAGCGTAATTAGCTGGGATCAGTTGAACGCTAACCGTGCCATCGAGTGGAAGTGGTATATTGACCAGAGAGTGCCGAGACTTGATCACAGTGTGATAGCCACTGAATTGAACTGCAGGAAACTGAATTACTTTTAAGGATCATCACGTATACGCCCTGTCGCCCACATTAAAAATGTCGCTGAGAAAGAGCTTCCTGGGCTGCCTGCTGGTGGCCACCGCACTGATAATGCTCCACCACGTCCATGCTGACTCTGACAGTAAGTGATCAATCTTACCGGATTTTAATCAGAATCGACATTACTATGTGGTCAAAATCGACCTTTTCCAAAAAAAAATCATCACAAAACAAATAGGTAAAGCTTATGAAAAGAACGAAATGTGATATGCTTAGAACTAATGTTTAATGGAAAATATTCTGTGTTGATTTTTCTAAAGTGTTTTCAATCTTGATTATAATTTTAATTTTTAATTTTTTCAATTGTGCCTAATGGGTGGATAGCACACGTCTTGAATGTTTTTCAATTTAATTTAACTGATGAAGAATACTGACTAGCTAGAAGAATTTAAGACCACAAAGTACTGTATACACTATTGTATAGTCCGACCCAAGTAAGTCCACGGACTTGGACCTAAGCCGCTACCTCTAACTAAGCCTGACACCCAACCCTCTATTATTGGTATACCGAAATGTATCACTGACTAATTCTGAATCTTGATGCATCCCGTTGCAGTGCCGAGCAGCCTAAAGCCCTGTGAAAGGTATGGGGGAGTGTGCATGCACTATTGCGAGAAGAAAATCCAACGCCCCAGTTCCGACTGCAAGAATGAGAAATTATGCTGTGTGGTGATGTAGTTATACTTATGCAGATATAAAAGCAAACACACATAAGTTATGTGACATAACACATACACGCCATGCACAGAAAAGAAAACATCCATTTGGAAATAAAATGTGAGCAAATCATCTTGACATTTTAATTAGATGTGGTAAATTAACATAATTTTATATGCTTTAAATTTAAAAAAGTATATAGATTTCTTTTGAATTTTTCACCCTTTTGTCTAGCAAAATCCCCTCAGCTTATTATAAAATCACTGTAAATATTTCAACAACCATTCTTTCATCTTTCATAAAGTATGGGTAGGGGTCAACTGACTGTAAACTATATATTTACCATATATTTTAAATCAAAAGTGTTTGTTATCAGCGACATTTACCTGACAAGAATTTGCCATGTTGGATTAATTAAAAATTAATTGAAATTACATGTCGAGTATGGGATTTTAAGAGTAACGAAAACTTACTTTCTGGACATACATATGTCTACGAAAAATATTCGTTAAAAGGTCATTAGTTATTGTTTTTTAATGCTATCGTTAAAGATTAGTTTCCCTAATAAATACTAACAAATCAGTTACTTGCTAACGATTTGTTTCGAGTGCAGTGAAAGAGCGCCGCTGATGGCGGCGATCGGAGAAGTTGGCTATTTTTCTAAGCTCTCTCACGCTCTTTAATTGAACCGAACTTCCTCTTTCACTTCCTCCCCTCTCCCTCTTTCTTGCTCTCCAATTGTGCAAAACCGCACGCTCTCGCCCTCTCTGTCCGTCTCCGGCGCTCCCTCTCCGTCTTTGGCGCTATAAGTTAGTATTTTTCGTTGGAAAGCATCTGTAGCGTAATTGGGGGATTAGTAGTGTGATCAGTTGAACGCTAACCGTGCCATCGAGTGGAAGTGGATTATTGACCAGAAAGTGCCGAGACGTGATCACAGTGAACTGAAGAATACTGAGAAATATCGAACCGAAACGAACCGCAGCGAACCGAATTACTTTTAAGGCACATCACGTATACGCCCTGTCGTCCACCTTGAAAATGTCGCTGAGAAAGAGCTTCCTGGGCTGCCTTCTGGTGGCCACCGCACTGATAATGCTTCACCACGTCCATGCCGATGCCGACACGAATGAATTAGATAGCCGAGAAACGTACAGTAAGTGATTGATTCTTGTGGATTTTAATCAGTATCGAAATTAGTATGTGGTCAAAAGGTAATACCATTAGATTTAGATCTTCAAATGAATCCCTTCCGATCCCTAAAGCCCTACCTCATTGTAATCATCATTTATCCGTTCCTCAAACCCCCAGTGCTCCAAGGCGTAACGGTGTATCCCCATGATCGACAGTGTGTCATGGTCGGCGGACTGTGCGTGAAGAGCGAAGACTGCCTGGAGCCCACCACAAAGCGGGGCCTGTGCCCCACCAGTGCCGCCTACGGTGTGGAGTGCTGCTATGAACGTGAGTATATTCCGGCACCCAGTGTCTGTTGCATCCTGCCTAAAACCCGTAAAAAAACCCCATCAGTCCGACTCAAGTCCATGTCGTTCACCTAAGCCACTACCTCTAACTAAGCCTCACACCCAACCCCTATTATTGGTATACCGAAATATATCCCTTACTAATCCTGAACCCCGATCCAATATCCAAACACCAAACGTCATCCCGTTGCTTCCCGTTGCAGTGCCGGTAAGACCAGCGCCCTGTGAAACGCACTATGGAGCATGCATGAACAATTGCGACGAGAATCTCCGTAGACCCAGTACCGACTGCAAGAATGGCAAAGTCTGCTGTGTCCTGGTCTAGTTATACTTACGCATATATACACATACACCCCATGCACAGGAGAAAAATGGATTGCTTATGAAATTGTATTTAAACAATGATTGATTTCAAATAATTTCACAAGCAGTGAGACAAGTGTCTAGGTAGATTTAATACTCAAGATTTGTTGAATTACCTTAAAACTGCATTTCTAAAGTCGAATATTATATGATAACCTTCCCAAATTTTAGCTATTTAGGTAAAGGTGCTTTTTTCCTGTGCAGACACCAACAAAACACACACAAACGCGACACACACACCGTACATAAACATGTATTTATTAAACTATATGTATATTAATAATATTGTACGAATACTTTTGTATGTCAACTTAGGAGTCCCCATCACACACACATCAATCCACCCCCCAAAACAGAGTGAAATATTGAAAAGCTTCCAATAAATGCATTGTAAATATTTTCAACAAAAAGTCTCTCTGCTCTTATGTAAGTATGGGTATGGGTCAGCTGACCACTGGAAGTCTGGTCTGGTTATCAGCGGAAAGATGTGGCGTCACGTGCCCCTCTAAGTACAGTTCTGTGACCAGAAGGAGAAGCCGAATCGAGAAGAGGAAAGAAATCAAAAACAAATTTTAATTAAATGAGAAATCGGAGTGTATATATGTATATATGTAGACTATGATGAGCCAGCCGAAATCATGAGATGAAAACAAAGCTTATCGCTGCTCTCTCCCTGCGTATGGGGATTCAATGTCAAGTTCAGATCCCCACAAAAATCCAATTCGTTCTTTGGACTGCCTCTCTAGTTTTTTTTTTTCAAAAATATTATTCTTCTCTACTATATTGAGCGATGAGTTCCAAAAACAGTTTCAAACTAAAATAAACGACCTTGCGAACATATATCTTTCACATCGTCCATGCGCCATGTACTCTCCGATATTTGGTTATATATGTATGTATGTTTTGTACATTTATTGTTTGTATTTTTCAGTTATGCATGGGCTTTCATTGCTAATGTTTGGACGCCTATTCTGTCCATCTATTTATAGTCTATAGGGTCACTTCAGTTTAGTTTTAGTTCGTTTTCGGCCAGAGCAGTGCTCTTGAGTTGAATGAAACCGTATGCAAGGCGGCATTGAGGCATGAACATGTGTTTATAGGAAGATATATATGGGAATTATATCGAAATAAGGGCACATGCAGGCTTTGGATAGTTGGGGAAACTTTAGAACTTTTTCAGGAATGGGTGGAATACCATTAAAGATACAACCTCTAGGAGCCTTTTCTTTTAACGTTTCGAGATGTCTAGTATCTGTAAGTAATTCTGCCTTTTAATTGAAAAGATTATATAATCTTCAGCACATGAATAACCAGGAAAAAATTTTAGATATAAGAGTTACCCAAAATATATACCAATGTACATGTATTTTATTATCAAATATATAAAAATTGATAACAATAAAGGGTCTCCCACAAAACCTTGTTTAACGAGCTCTTTAAAATCCTTATTTAGCCAAAGAAACATGAAAAAATATATCAAATCATCAGTATCTTATCTTATAATCCAGTAATATCTTTAGGATCTATATATCTCGACCTTCGGCACTCGGAATTGCATCATTTTCGCTGCACTTTGAAGAATTCAGTGTCGTCGCCTGGCAATTAACCAATTCACTTAGCCCGCCAATGCCAGTGACAGTGAAAACACTGACCTTGTCTGGACATTATTTGCGATTTGTAACGGAATCATACTATATTTCCTATATATTATATGCGGCAATTGAGTGAAATCTCCTAACTGCGTCTTAGATTGCATAAGCGATGCAGTGATACCACCGTGAAATCGCTTGAACCCGAACCCCAAGTGTGTCGAGAGCGAGAGCTTGCCGTAATATTTTTAGTTATTTTTTATTTATTTTTAAGTTCAATTTTTTTTTTTTGTAGGAAAGTACCGGCGTTCCGTGAAGTTTATCAGGGCAGCTCATCAGCCATCGGGCATGTCACATAATAAATTATTTATGTGGGGTTTTTTTTTGTATATTTATTTTTTGCAATCGTATTTGTGTGTTTTGCTGTTTTCCACTTTTTGCATTTGTTTACGTTTTCGATTTCGTTTTTGCCAGCTAATGTCGATTTTTGTATTTATTTGCCTCGCATTTCCACCAAAGCGAAACTAATACTACTTTGTGTGTGTGTGTGTGTGTGTGGATTTTAAGGGGGGGTTTAATAAAGGCTTCCAAGGGGGTTTCTTTGTGGGGCTGGGGATAAGGCTCGGGTAACGCTCATATTTCATGTCATAGTTCGCACTCATTTTAAACTTGACATAAAGCTGTGTTGGCGCTTGCGTCTCATATCCTGCGGGCAGTGCAACGCAATTTGCATCTCCGTTCCATGCTCCTTTGCTCCTTTACCTCCTCGCCCCTTTGCCCTTTTAATATTTTGTGTCTTTTTCTTTTTTTTTTAATTTTTTCCCATGTGGCAGTGTGGAGAGTATAAAAGAAAATGATTTTGTGGCATAAATTAACGCCGAGAGGCACACGGAACACTATTAAAAAATACGGATCCGCCAGAGCACACACACACACACACATACACGGCTTCGTCCTGGCTTCGGCCAAAAGGATGTGCTGGATGCGGCGGTGCAAGTCGATGGCTTATGGAAAAGTCAGTTCCTGGATCCTGCATATTCGTTGGCAGTTGCTCTTCATGTTTGTCAGAAGAAGGGGCCTTGACTCCACGTCCTCATGCAATTAATCCTTTTTCACAGCCCCCATCGCCGGCTCATCCTTTTGCCCGCAAAATGACTTTTTAAGTTAATTTCTTCCTGCGTTGAGAATCTTCAAGGAAAAATGAACGTTTTTACTTATACTTTCATATATGGGGAGGCCTTTGTTTTTTAACTTTTCACATAATCCATCCATGTATCCCCTGGCCGTCATTAAAAATGTCTGAAATAAAGGCATTTATTTTTCGAAGGCTTTAACGGTTAGCCATAAGCTTCAATTATTTGGTTAGCAGAGTGTTGTTTTTTTTTGTCAGGATCAACAGGTCGTGTTGTGCATTGTTTGCTGCCAAATATTTGGGTTAGTTAAACCCGATTTAATGGTCCGCACAATGTCAACATGACATCACATTTTCCTTAATCACACAGGACAAGCACAGTGCTGGCGAAAAGTGTGAGCTGGTCTTTGAATTAGGTGAATAATAAAATAGATTTAAGGATTTTTAAAAGGGAAAGTATAATTAAAAGATAAAAGAAAGTTAAAATATACATTTTAAGCTTGTAATCTATGAAATCTTTTCATAATTATATTAAAAATCCTTTTCTATGGATTATACCGATATTCATTAGCTCTAAATATTGCTTACCTTATGAATAACTCAACACTTTTGAAACGCACTTTATAGCCTGGCTTTAAGACTTTGAAATTTCAATGCAAATTGGTGTGCAAATGGCATAAAATGAAATTACTCAAAATCCTTTGACAAATATGAAAGTGTTCCCACCTGAAAAGTCTCATCCCCCTTTTTGTCATTTTTGGGTAATGCCATTAGGAGCGAGCAAATGAAAGTGAAAATGAAAATGTTTTCCCATAGGCTGAGCTCTGTGAGCTCTCTCTTCACCTTTTGATGATGATGAACGTTGGTTGCCAGGTGGAGACCTCATATTCATGCGTAGATAAGATGTATTACTTTCTCCTTCTCCCACTTTAGAAATTCTCTTACAATTAGCCACAATTTTTGGTTGCGATGTAGACGCTGACCCCCCGAGGCAGAATCTTCATTTTTTGTGTAACAGGATTAACCGCAATTTCTTTAATTAAAATTTCCATCACCATCCCTCTTCCTGCGGTGTTGCGGGGTTGGAGTTTCTAAGCCGAGGCAGAAAAAGAAAAAGGATTGTAAATTACGCTGTCAGTCAGTCCTGAGTCAGTCACTCAGTCTGTCAACAACAATTAAAACGGGAAGCAGCGGCAACAAATTAAAAATTCATCTTCCGCATATCCCATGGATTTGTATCTTGTATCTAGTGTCTTGTAGCCGGGTATCCTGTGGCTGGCATTCGCATCCTGGGGTTACTTGATGTGGTCCTTTTTTTTTAATTTGATTGGCGCTTCTTGGTGCGGCGTTTCCGGTTTTTCTTTACTTACCACCTAGCAGCCCAGCTCCTTGATTAACGAAGCTCACTGAATGTGAAAGGAGTTTAGAGCCTTAGGGCGGGCTAATTATTTTTTTCTCTTGGATATTTTTGGATATTTGATTAAGACACGAGGCCTAGTTACTTGGGCAGCAATCATCCGGACTGATTGGGTATGAATACCTCTTTTTTCGAACCCTTTTTTATATTGCGAAAGTTGCATTTTTAATTGAAACCTAATTTTTTAGGTGTTCTTCGTAGTATCTGACAAATTGCCTCAGGTAAGACACCTTTTTTACCCAACATTATCTTTACTTAAAGTAAAGAACATCAAGTAATACTCTTTTTACTTTATTATTTAACAGTTCTCCTGAAATATATATTTGAAAATATATAATATAAAATTGTATAATAACAATGTTATTATTATTATTATTATTACTAAATCTTACTAAAATCCTTAAAAGGTTCTATATTCTTTTTAACCAACTTTGAAAATAATTTTTTTAGAAATAAATCTTCTACTATATTAACCCTATCATTTAATACCCTGCTAACCGCACTCAATGAGTCACATTTTATTTTATTTTTCCAACATTTTCGGGCTCTCCGGGGTCCTGCAACTTTTTGACTTTTGTTGTGTGCAAATAATTTGCAGCTCGTTCGCTCGTTCGCTTGGCGTCATTAACAATGTACGGGCGGGGAAATGGTAGAAAGTTTTATCTAATTAATGAAACTTCAGCGCAACGTCAAGAAGTCGGGCGAAGGAACCCCTGGAAAACTCGTGGAAATCCAACGAAATTCGCTCCTTGATGTCGTATTGTTGACAGTGACGATACTGTTAAGGATAACTGGGTGGAAGGGGGGCGGTACAACGTGGCGTATGATTGCTTTTGTGTAAACAACCAGCCATGAACATATATATCTATGTCGCTGTCTGCTCTTTACTCTTCATTTTCCATCTTTTTTAATACATACATATATATTTTTTTATCTTTCGTCAAAAGTTTTTTAATTAGCAACAAAAAGTAAAGGGTTAAATATCGCGTTGAAAAGTTTCGGCAAGCTAACAAATAAGTTTCGGCAATGCCGCTGACACGCCCCCTTCCTTTCGGGAGAAAAGGGGGTGTCAAGGGGCGGAGGCGCGAGTGCAGATAATGAGTATTAAGCAACACTTACTCGCAATTAAGTTTTGCTCCAGCCAACGAAAGCCGCCGAAGCTGCGTCCTTCTTTGTTGACTTTTTTCCGGGCTGTAATTACGCGTAATCGTAAAATTAATTCCTGCACATGACTGCACCCGCTCACCGTTGGACAGAATAGCGGAAGGGGAA